AATCCTAGTCTTCGTAATGCATCCTTTAGCTCACCATTACAGAGAGGCACTTCCCCCTATTCTATGGCGGGAATGGATCCCAACCAGCCAGTCATCCAAGCACATTCTCCAATGCTGTCAAATGCTTTACAGAATCCTAGTCTTCGTAATGCATCCTTTAGCTCACCATTGCAGAGAAGTACTTCCCCTTATTCTACAGCTGGAATGGATCCCAACCAGCCAGTCATCCAAGCACGTTCTCCAATGCTGTCAAATGCTTTACAGAATCCTAGTCTGCGCAATGCATCTTACTGCTCCCCATTGCAGCAAGGTGTCTTCCCTCATTCTTCAGCAATGACAGAGATTGAGCAACCAGTCAATCAAGGACGTTCCCCACTCCTATCAAGTGCATTGATGAACCCTCACCTCCAAAGAACTTCTTATAAATTGCCAGATGGGTCAATACTATCTAGACACCCTGGACAGAAGACGGAAGTTTCTTCCCCACTCATGTCTAGTGCTTTGCTGAACCAAAACCTTCGGAATGCTTCCTATCGGCTGCCCGATGGATCAATCTTTTCCAGGAACCAAGGAAGGCAACAACCCACCTCTCCACTTCTATCCAATGCGCTCCAAAATCCAAATCTTCTCCAGGCATCTTATAAGCTGCCTGATGGGTCAATACTTCTACGAAGCAATGCAGTAGTAGAGCAAAACACTTCACCTCTTTTGTCAAATGCTTTGATGAATCCAGGCCTTCGTATGGCTTCCTATAAGCTTCCAGATGGGACAATAATGTCCAAAAACCAGAAAGCACAAGCCTCTTCTCCTCTTTTGTCAAGTGCTTTGTTGAATCCAAACCTTCGCCAAGCTTCCTACAAGTTACCTGATGGGTCAATCTTATCCCGGAAGTCTGCAAATGAACAACCTTCTTCCCCACTTCTGTCAAGTGCTTTACTGAATCCTAGTCTTCGGCAAGCTTCATATAAGCTGCCCGATGGGTCTATAATGTCCAGAAAGCAAGGAAAACCACAAGAAACCTCACCCCTCCTGTCAAGTGCCCTCCTGAATCCAAATCTTCGAAATGCTGCTTACAAGTTGCCTGATGGGTCAATCATGAAGAGAAGTAAGAAAGGGAAGGAACCTTCTTCTCCATTCCTTGGTAATGCATTGCAAAAAGCAAACCTGCGCATGCCATCCCTCAAGCTCCCTATGCAGCTAGGAAGGCGGCAAGGACCTGGAGAGGACGAAGGTAACCCAGATGATCCAGGTGGACGCTATGCAGTGGTCATGCCTCAGATGCAAGGGCTGAGGTCATCCTCTCTGCATCAGCACTGGGCTCAGAGACACATTGTAGACCCTCAAGAAGCAGAGGATATGTGGGCTTCAGAGAGAGTTCTTCCTCACCAGACAGTCCAGAACCTCACAAAGTGGTCCATGTACAAAGATGAGGAACTAATGGAGAATCTCAATCCCCTCGATCCAGGTAGTGAGGCATATATCCCAGAACCTGAATGGTCACCAAACAGGGAAGGTGAACCAGAAGGACGATGGTATGATAAGGTAACAAAAGCATCGCCCTGAAATATTTTCTAAAGCAGTGATTCTCAAAAGTTTTGGACCAAGTATCACTTCAGATTAACCCAAAACAGCCAAATACCCCATGGGTAAAAAAAAATCACAGTGACCTGAATCACAACGTCTTTTCGTGTAATACCTGGGGGCATTCTGAGTACCCCTAGTGGTCCATGTACCACGGTTTGAGAACCACTGCTCTTAGGTACAAGGTTCATTGTTTATTTCTTTGTTTAAATGTATTAAATGTATTTTTTACAATTAAAAAAAATAACATTTTAATGCATGTTAGTAGGTACAGATTTTTTTCAGATTTTGGTGGTATGAGAGAGTAAATTGCAGCTTTGCACTTGGCTCTCTGCTTCTTTTGCCTGCTCCCATGAAAATGACTGAAATGCTTACGGCATTAGCCACATTTGTAGGTTTCATGATGGGAAAAGTTAATTATTCAAACTCATGGCGGGAGAGATTAACAGATTTATCGTAGACGAAAGCCTAATTTCTCCCAACACTAGTCAAAGGTCCTTTACATTTTCAAATAAAAATGATAAATTCCTATTTAATAATGCTTGTTTAGTTATTCTCCTTGACATTTAGCCAACATGAATATTTTCACATTAATTAAACCCGCCATTCCACACAACAGTATGACAGGCTAACCGTATAATACAAAACAATACATTGCTTTTACTCAAAGTGTATCGATCACTGCACCGAGCAATTTTAAAATGCGTATTAATATCAGAGAATAGTAGTAAGAGTTTGGATGTTATGGCTATGTGTAAGTTTCCTGTTGCGGTGCAGCATGGCACAGACGGAGAAAACAGGTGACGATCCACTTATAGTTCCAGGACAAAGGGATTTATTGGGGAAACTGAACACACTGGGTGAAACTACAAAAAATACAATGAGGGGTCAGAAAAACAAGGCTATGCAGCAATCCAGGGAGTAAGGAAAACACAATGGTTGAAGGAAGTGACAGGGAGGAGGACAGGATGGCTAGCAACACCTGCTGGCCAAATGGGGAGGTGACAGGAAAGGCAGGGTTGGACAGGTGCTGGACCCTGACAGTTTCCTCTGGGTTTTCCATTTTTTTCCTGCAGTCCAGAACATACATTTAGATGAACTGGTGTCTCAGATTAGATTAATTGTTCATAGAGTGTGCGTGTCTGTGTGTGTGTGTACGTAGGTATGTGCTTTGCAAATTCCATTCAGGTTGGACCCCTGCCTCGTGCCTGCTTCCTGGGAAGGGCTCCAGACCCCAGTGTCACCTTCTACTGGAGAAGTGGTTATGGAAAGTGGATGAAATGTGTATATATATATATGTATATATATATATATATACACACACACACAAAGAAATACAAATACAAAGAAAAAATACAATTTCAACTTCGCTGTAGACTCAAATTGACCCACATGCGGTTACACATAGTATCATGATTGTTGGTTTACAATTTTCCGTTAAGCTAAATGTTGATATCAAAACAACGGAAGTCATGTCATATCACAGATTTTGGGATTCCCTTTCGTTTGATCTGTTCCGATACCAAGCATTTTCCATAAACACCAAAAGCTGAAAGCCTTGCTTTTTCATTCAGATGTACTCCATCCGAAGTTTGCCGACAATGCACTACAGGGACCGGCCAGAGGAAGATGGCGTTGAGGACATGACCCAGCTGGAGTGAGTCTGGATCTCCCAACATTGCAAACAGTTCTACAGTGGCTTCCCTCTCCCATGATACATACATGTTCTTCCTTTTGTCTTTTACAGAGAGCTTAATGAAGGCTCTGTCCTGGTAAATTTGAAGACAAGGTTTGACCGAGATCTGATTTATGTGAGTAGGACGAATATGCTAAATACCCACCAGACTTTACTCTTTTTCATGTTGGTTTACATGCTCACTTTTAAGTTAAAATACTCCTTTGTTGTTCTTGTAGCATTATGACATTTCCAATGCTGTCTCTATGTCTTCAGACGTATATTGGCAGCATTCTGGTGTCTGTGAACCCCTACAAGATGCTGAATATATACGGGACGGACATGGTGCTGCAGTACAATGGGCAAGCGATTGGAGAAAACCCCCCGTGAGTGTGGCCCCGCCCCCGGGGAGGCGGGGCTACCTGCTTCTGTTTACCCCAACACATGGAGTATTCCATTGATATGCTCTTGCAGTGATAATGCATTTTAGAGTTTTGTCGGTGTTGATTTTGCATAGTTAATCTGTTATTAATTACATCAATTAAATGTATTACATCATGAAAGGTTCGACAGCTTATACTGAACTGAAGGAAGCCCACACAACTATGAGTGTTAGAACAGAACAAAGTATAATGGATCTTCATCAAACCTTCTTCAAACCTTGTGTGAGCTAATGTACAGTTAACATGCCATTAACTTATTTCTGATCACCAGTGAAAGCTAATAAATGACCACCTTATACCATTCTGAAGCTCTGTATAGTATACAGCTTTGGAAAAAATTAAGAGACCACAACAAAATTTTTTGTTTCACTCATTTCTCAACTTATGAGTTATGTGTCTCTTCCGTGCTTCTCATTAATGAAGGGCGTCTTCCTTTACTTTATGGGTCTTCAGTCCTGCTTCTAGGAGCCTGATGCACACTGTCCTAGCAGTGCATCTCACACCTGCACTTAATGTTTCCCATTCTTTGTGAAGGTCACTTGAGGTCATCCTCTGATTCACGAGGCACTACCACAAAAGTTGACGCTCATCTCTGGCATTAGAAAGTTGCTTCTGCCCCATACCTAGATGGCCTTTGGTCATTGCCAGTGTCACCTTGCTCTTGTGTATTCCAATCGAAGAAACTTTGAGTCTGTAAGCAGCCTGCCTCGCAATGTGGCCCTTCTGTCAGCAGAGCCAGGATTAAACCAGTATTTTAAAATACAGATCTTTTAAAAATATAGAGTGGTCCCTTCATTTTTTTCAGAGATGTATATACTTCTGTTTAAAAGCTATCTAAATGTCTTTCGGATCATTATATGTCATTCTTTAACCACATATTGGTGACTGCTAATCTTACATGTCTGCTGTCATGCTGGAACATGGCTGTACAGCACCATGTTGTTTATTAACAGCAGGTTGAATTACGTGTAGATCTGTATTAAGTGACCATTACACCTAGAAGTGCAGATGAAAGATCAAATCCTCTTACCTGCTGGCTTTGCAACACTAGTTTTTGTATGTATTTCGTGATGCAGCACGCCACTTTAACACAGAGCTATTATCTTGCTGCTCCCTGTGTTTTCAGTCACCTCTTCGCTATTGCTAACTTCTCCTACACCAAAATGATGGATGCCAAACAGAACCAGTGCATAATTATCAAGTAAGTCGGGACTTCCTGTTGTTGCTTGCTTTTGTAAACTTTCAAGTGGCAAATTTAGGTGCACGTGGTGTAAGAGTTAATATTTTATTCCTGGGCTGTGATCAGAATATCCACCTAACTCAGTAGCATCTTAGGGCTATTTATAAACCTGACAGTTATGGACACACACCCGTAGCTTTGTGAAGTCCTTCTAGTCTTTGGAAGAAGAAGAAACCTGTAAGAGAAGCCTAGTGACGCCTGGGCAGATCGTGTCGCGCGGTGAAATGCATCTCAGGCCGTCTCAGGGCACCTGGCACGAAACCTGACTGAATTTCAACCTTGAATTTCACTTCTTCGTCTGATTATTATCAGACGCGATAAATGGGGGCTAATCTGGTTAGGCCTATTGGTACAGGCTAAAGGAACATAAATCGATTCTCCCCTTACTCTGCTAATTGGGGCGAAATTCTAACCTAGGGTGTATTGTCAGTTTGCTTCAATACTTATTTCGCACATTTCTAAAAGAATATGTTTGATTTCATCACAGTGGAGAAAGTGGGTCTGGGAAGACGGAAACTACGAAGCTCGTCCTGCGATACTTAGCGGCGATACACCATAAGCGCAACATCACGCAGCAGGTGATGTACATTCAGGGCTTCATAAAAGAGCAAGTTCTGTCATCTGTATTGTATTTATCCAGTAACACTTTTTCCTTGTCCCCTTTGCTTCAATGACACAGATTGAGGTACCGTAATTTTAACCTTACAATCGGCATGCGGTCGTGTGCATGTTGAATTCTTTTGTCTTCGTGAAAAAAGTGTCAGAAGTTCGCCTCAATGTAATTTCAAGCCACATCCCCCGAGTTTCTGATTTTGTGTAGTTTTAGTATTGTGTCGTATTCTTCATATATCCTTCACGGATGTAATAATGATAGTTCCAGCGTTTATAAACGTTTCACAAATCATTTCCTCAGATACTGGAAGCGGCACCGCTTTTAGAATCGTTCGGAAATGCCAAAACCGTGAGGAACGATAACTCAAGCCGCTTTGGGAAATACGTGGAGATTTTTATGGAGGAGTAAGTACCTTATTCTTTAAACTGTTAATTAATCTTAAGTGACGTCGGAAAATGATATGTCAATTGCGTACTGGTAAGGTGGTGTCGAGTAATCCGACGGTTAAAAATTAATCCATTTCACCGTGTCATTGTATTGTAACCGAACTGAAACAAGCGAAGTGCATAGGATTGCTATTTTTAAAACCCCATTGTTACCTTTGTAAGGGTGTTTTGAAGTTAAAGTTCAAGTACAAAGTTTTGAAGTTAAAGTTCAAGTATTTCTTTTTTTTCATACAAATTCTGATATTTGGCTGTAACTTGATAAACTTGCTGTTGTTCCGACTGTGTATGTTAAAGTTATTTGCACGTTAACGAATAATTGACTAGCATATTTTATGATGACATGTTATTGACCTCTTCCTCTTGTATGTTTATTAACATATTTCATGTTTCTGTTTAATCTCGTTCATGCAAAGATGCATAGAAAGTTAAGGTCCTGAATGGTAGGCCTATATAGTTTTCGCATAAACACTATACTGTAAATACTGTGAATTCGTACCTGTCGACGTGCTGTTTCTCTGTTGTCACCAACTTTTGAGAATTAAGATACATCATTCCTGGACAAGTACACTACTGACTGCTATAGCTATGTCCAGTCTAAATAATTAAGAGCGGTAACAAACGCAGCAATCAGAGCCAGTGCCGTGAGCGAGGCTAATGCGAAGTCCTCTCACCCAGTGACAGATGGGCGATAACGCTGTTATTGCTACACGCTCATTGTAGGTACTTTTGTCTGCATTATTTAACACAGAGGTGTGATCAGTGGTGCCATAACCTCACAGTATCTACTTGAGAAGTCCCGGATTGTGTTTCAGGTAAGTAAGACTCCATCTATACCTTGTTCTTCAGAGTTCCCTCACAAACTGGCAGTATGGAGTGGTTCTGTGACTCAGGAAACCCTTCCGGAAACACATTTTGAATGGCAAATTAACTTTCTTAAAGCCTTTTGCTGTTAATTGAGATTTCAAAGGATTATCTAGACCAGGGTTATTCAACTCACGGTCCTCGAGGTCCGAGCACTGCTGGTTTTCCAGCCTTCCTTTACCTGTCAGTCAGGTGTGAAGCCTCTGACCAATCAGAATCAGTCATTATTAAACAACTACCTGGGGGAACTGAAAACACGGCCTGGATTTGGAATCGAGGTCCAGAGTTGAAGAACCCTGATCTAGACTGTCACGTATGATAAATTAGCTTTGACATTGTTTAATGTTAACTTACTTTTATATTTCAGGCCAAAAATGAGAGGAACTATCATATTTTTTATGAAATGCTTGCCGGCCTTCCTGCACAACAGAAGCAGGCGTTTTATCTTCAGGAGGCTGAAACATATTACTACCTCAACCAGGTGAAGTGCATGATGCATGAACCCAACCTTTAGGAACCAGAAACCAGGTGACACTTCAGCCAAGTTGAAGGCCCTTCAACATATATCCTGGCACTGTTTCAAGAGAAAAATTATCAGAAATCTCAAAATCAGGGAAATGATAAAAAAAATATACAAGAAAATCAGGAAATTTTGGCCTCGGTGGGATGTTATGGTTTGCTGGTTGTCTTTAGTGACTCACACAGCAGCCCAAGAAGATGTGTTAGAGCAGGTCTCTGAAGTGTGGTGTGGCTCTATATGTTGGTAAAACCATAACACTCCCCCCCACCACCACCACCATTGTAGGGGGGCAACTGCGAGATCCCAGGAAAGAGGGACGGGGAAGACTTTCGCAGGATCCTCAGCGCCATGGAGATACTCAACTTCAGTGTCGAAGAACAGAACAGCATCTTCAGGGTTCTGTCTTCCGTTCTCCACCTTGGGAACGTGTTCTTTGAGAGATATGAGGTACCCTGACTCATCCGTGACTAGAATTTGGTGATAAATGGTCATTGTTGACACAACACAGCACACAGTGCACAACAACTAAATGTGTCCTCTGTATTTAACCCATATGTGACATCATGACATAGCAGTGGGCAGTTAATTCAGCGCCCGGGGAGCAGTGCTTGGGGGCGGTACCTTGCTCAGGGTACCTCAGTGGTGCCTTGCTACATTTCTCCCAGCACATCATTGATTTTGGAGACATAGATGTTTCTGGCCTCCTCTTTCTGTCATTGTTCATGGGCTCGATCTCCTGAGGAGGACCTAGGATTGGGGATGGAGATGTTTTTGGGCGTGTCTCCCCTGCAGGCTGATTCCCAAGAGGCGGCTACCGTTGTGAGTGCGCGGGAGATCCGTGTGGTGGCCGAGCTTCTCCAGATCTCCCCAGAGGGCCTGCAGAAGTCCATAACCTACAAGGTCATGGTATGGACCGGCATCATTGTCATGTTTTGCAGATGCTCGCAAACCTTTGGCTGGTGGTGGCTAAGCAGGTTGAGACACTGTGCCTGTGATCAGAGTGATTTCACCGTTGGGACCCTGAGCAAGATCCAAGATTATCATTGTTTTATTATTTTTATTAGATTAATTAGATGGCTTCTCGTTTGCCTACGTGAACTACACTAGTTTAAATGTAAATGTAAAGAGCACATTCAACACTGTCCACATCCTTAGAAGGAGATAGTCTATTGTTGATTATCTCCATACTGCGTACTGTACTGTCATTCATGTTTGGGGCTGTGTGCCAAGACTCCCCACCATTGGCTGTGTTGTCCGTGTCACATCCTTTGCCAGCCCACTGAATGAGTCAACGGTCGATACACTTTGATAAGTCACCTGTAAAGCAGCGACAGCGAAAACAAAACCTCAAACCATGCATATAAGCTGTAATCCCCCCTGCCCCCAGGCTGAATGACAGCACAGGTAATAATACCCTGGGGGTAATTATAGCCAGAAGGTTGGGGTTAAAAAGAGAAAAGGCTGAAACTCAATCGGGGGTTACCTGGAATCTCCTTTACAGTACCATAGTTCTGAGACTTTGCCAGACCACATATACTTAACGACTTTCGTTAATCTCAATAATTGTGGTTGGAGCCTTTAGCTATTAACTATTGCACTTATAATAATTATTACTACCAGTTGCTTAGGAATTTGTTGTTTTTCAGTTTAACGTGTCTATGCTGAATCCCACATACTATCACACTATCAAGAGCGGTTCCCAAAACTCTTGTTGACTACCCCCAACCATTCCATATATTTGTCGCGTTCCATCACTGGACAGCAAATGTGGTAACACTTTAATTAAAGCTATTATAATGTATTATGAATGTATTTTGTACGGCATTATAGGTGGGAGCTTCATAGAGCATTCATGATGCATAATAAACATGGTTATAATGTGTTGTGCTTTTTAATAAATAGTTAAAACCATGTTTATAACACTTTATGAATGCATTATAATGCATTATGAAGTTATTATGAAGATAATTGACCATGCATTACGATGACTGCTTTAAGTAAAGTGTTACCCAAGTGTCTTCATGTCAATGATACATGAAGTGTAAATCGCTCTATAATGAATTACAAAGGCTGAGAACGTGTACAGTTTCTTTTTCCAGCATCTTGGTCACCTGACCACCTACTGCATTGTGTGCACTCATCCCTTTCATCGGCAGTCAAGTTCACATTTCCTACTGCTTGGGCTCCAGCCACAACTCCAAGATCTGGCACATGGTTTTGCATTTGCTGTTTCTTTCTTTCCCCATCTAACTGTCCTGAAGCCCCATTTGAGACTAACAACATTTTTCTTTGTTTGTATCAACATGATCTTGTGCTCTTTAAAGCTACTTAACTGAAGAGGTTTCAGTCTAGCATACATCGCTGTTCATTCCTTGAAATGCACAATGGAATTTTAATCACAAAGAAGTCTCTCGTCAAAGGGGCACTTGTGACATCACGCAGAGGGCCGTGGGTGTCATTGAGTTTACACTGGTCATTAGGGTAATAGACACTCCATGTGTAACTAGAGAGTGCCACAGTCAATGATAATTCATTTAAACCAGCTGGATTAGGTGAGTGCTTTGTGGTTGAAGGCACATTATACCCAATAAAATCTTAATGCTGATTGAAGTAAAGACACATTCAGATGAAATGAAATGAAGATATGAAAATTACTTGCTTACATGCAATATTTCATTTATTTTTCAATTGTGCTGCATAATTGAGAAATTCATGGAAGACAGTGGAGGGGAGGAAAAACATAAAATCTAATGTTCAGACCATGGGCATAAATTATGGGGGGGTGGGGGTGGAGGGGGTTGTAACCCCCCCCAATAATCAAAATCACCTAATACAACCCCCTGGACTCCCTTAAATGGGTGGAGACTTCAACCCCCCCCCCCACTGCTCAACCCAAAGCTATGCCCTTGGATCAGACTCATGTTCACTTTCCTGCAGGAAACGATGAGGGAGAAGATATTCACTCCTTTGACTGTTGAGAGTGCTGTTGATGCCAGGTGAGAGGATGGCCGATAATCCCAGACTGACCGGTGGGTGGTATCGTGGCTCAGTGGGCAGTGCTGTTACCCAGCACCTCTAGTGTTAGGGATTCCTACCGCCCGCCTTCTTGGTGTGTGGAGTTTGCATGTTCTCCCTGTGTCTTGCTGGCTTCCACCAGCTGCTCGAGTTCCTTCCCACAATAGAAACACACACAGTTTGGTGAATTGGCATATATTAATTACCCATAGAATGTGACTGGTATATTATCCAGGATGTACCCATTTCCGCCTGGGATAGCTTCCAGATTCCCCCCCCGATAAGTAGCTGAAGCGCAAATGTCAACTGAAGCTGTTAAGATGGAGTGCTTTATTTATAGGGACAGAGTAGGACCCCCCTAATGGAGACCTGCAACCTTAACCGCTCTGGCAGATGCTAGTTTTTATAAAATATACGTGTCATTTGATGGTCGGGTAAATATGTGTCAAATGTTTTTCTTCTGTGGGACATCCAGAGACGCCATTTCCAAGATCTTGTACGCCCTCCTGTTCAGCTGGCTCACAGACAGGATTAACACGCTGGTTTACCCAAAAAATGAAGCATTGTCCATCTCCATCCTAGATATCTATGGATTTGAGGTAATTCAGGAGCCAGGAGCAGGTTATACAAACAACTTGGTTTATTTGCATGTTTTTTTTCCCTCAATTGATCTTTTACTGCATGTAAAGAAGTGTGGGCAGAACAAATTTGCATTCCTATCTTTCAGGACCTAGCTTTCAACAGCTTTGAACAGCTTTGCATTAATTATGCAAATGAGTATCTGCAGTTTTTTTTCAACAGTGTAATATTTAAAGAAGAGCAGGTAAGCGTTCTGTGCTGTAAGTAAACCCTGTTGGCTTCCAGTGATGCTTTGTCACATTGATATTTTGGAAGCGTATAATCGCTCTTCTTGGTACAAGGATGAATACATCAGAGAACAGGTCAGCTGGCAGGAAGTGTCATTCACCGATAACCAGGAGTGCATTGACCTGATTGCCGCAAAGCCTCATGGGATACTCCGTATCCTTGACGACCAGAGTTGTTTTCCTCAGGTATGCTGGTTTTGTTGGAAAGGCCACTCAGTAAATCAGCCGTTAATATGAGACTATTTTTAACAAAAGTACAAGATGAGTGGTAAAAGAATGCAAATAATATGCAGCAAGGATAAAGCAATACTTTTCTAACACAGCTGTCCTGTTACTAGGCAACTGACCACACCTTCCTTCAAAAATGCCACTATCACCATGGCAACAACTCCCTGTACTCTAAGCCAAAGATGCCTTTGCCCGAATTCACTATAAAGCACTATGCTGGCAGAGTCACCTATCAGGTACTGTGTATAATGTGGTCCCAAACTTAGAGGGTTTTGTCTCACCTTTTCAGTTCCCACCAATCTTATGCATTTTTTGTCACAAATTCATTTCAGGTCCACAAGTTTCTGGATAAAAACTTTGACCAAGTCCGCCAGGAGGTCCTTGAACTCTTCGTTCAAAGCAAAAATAAGGTGAGTGGCAACGGTTCCCGAGGTGGCCGTGGGTGCAGACGCCATCCATGTGGCCACACGCGGGACACGCCTGTTGCTTTCCAGATGGTGGCCGGCCTCTTCTGCAATCATGCCCAGTTCCTCAGCCAGCAGTCCCACGTTAGGAAGACGAGTACCGTGACCCGGCGCTACCAGCCACCCACCGTGGCTGCCAAGTTCCAGCAGTCCCTCCTGGAGCTGGTGGAGAGGATGGCGAGGTGGGGGGATTCTGGTGGGAGGGGTGCATAGGAGGCTCCTTAACGTCGTTACTGCCTACCACCTTGATATCCTTCCCCCTCTCTAACACGATTTGTCCGCCTCCCTTAACAGGTGCAATCCCTTCTTTGTGCGCTGCATAAAACCGAACAGCAGAAAGGTATGAGAGCACCCAGCATGCACTGCGGCCCGTATCACGCCTCCCGTCTTCCAACTGCATGTCCGTGTGTCGAAACAGGAGCCGGGCATATTCGAGGTGGAGCTGGTCGCTACCCAGCTTCGCTATTCTGGGATCTTGGAGACGATCCGCATCCGTAAGGAAGGCTACCCCATCAGGCTGGCATTCCACACATTCCTCTGCAGGTGCTTCCCTTCACGGCTGACCATCTCCGTGATATAATCCGTGACTGGGAATAGTGATCCACTGTTGGTGTAGCTCTAGACCTTCATCAGTGTGCTTCCAACAGTTCGAACAGCTGTTTATTTACAACAACCCAATATAATGAATTAATAGGCAATTAAGGTAGCATTCAATCAGTGCCAGTGATAAAGTAACAGCTGTTACTATCTATATGAGGGCAATATTTGGAACACACCATCATGACTTGCACCTTTGAAGCAGTCATTTACATTGGTGTTCTTGGACTAAATTCTGATTGGCCCATGCCTCTTTCCCTGATTGGTTCTGCTATCAGGTACAAAGCCCTACTGGGAATACAGCAGCCACCTCCCCCGGAGGGTGAGAACTGTGTTCTCATGCTGAGGAAGCTGTGTCCCGTCAGGGCAGGCCAGTACCAAGTGGGGGTGACCAAGGTAGGTGTCCGCCTGCTATATGGACAAGCTTCTGCTGTAGCTTTGATGCTCAGATGGCGTGTGTCTGCAGCTGTTCTTGAAGGAGGAGGTCTACCAGCTGCTGGAGAGCAAGCGGGACCGAGTGCTGCATGTGGCCGCCCTCACGCTCCAGCGATACACACGGATGTTCTTTGTCCGGAGACGCTTTGTCGCCTTCCGCAAGAAGATCATGTGGCTGCAGGCCCACTGCCGAGGATACCTCACTCGGTAGAACCTTCAACACCGGTCTAAAAGTCTGTCAAAAGTCTGGACACGCCAAGCCACTTACAAAGGAGAGTGATAGAGTGTCGCATCACATGACCTGGTCACCTGACCTAAACATGGTAGAAATGATTTTTAAGGAGTTTAACCAGAGTGTGAAGGAAAAGTGGCCAATGAGTGCTCAGCATATGTGGGACCTTCTTCAGGATAGTTAGAAAACATCTTAGGAGGCCACCTCATGAAACTGACATTTAGGACACAGTAGGGTCCTATAGCAATTGGGGTTAAGGGCCTTGCTCAAGGGCCAAATGGTGAAATCACTCAGCCAACCACAGGATTTGAACCGGCAACCTTCTGAGTCGCAACCTACAGAGCTGCCCCCCTCCAAGAAATTATTTTTTTTGTTTAATACTATGTTGGACAGCACATAATTTCATATATGTTATTTTATAGTTTTGATGTCTTTATAATTATTCAAAAATGTAGAGAATAATACAAATAAACCTTTCTTTGGGTAGGTGTGTCCAAAACTTTTGACTGGCACTGTAGGCTTTTCCTAACTTGCTGTGTTTCCCGCAGGAGGGGTTACGAGAAGATGAGGGCGAGCCTGGTGAAGTTCCGCTCCCTGATTCTCATGTATATCAGCCGCAAGAGATACATCAAGGTACAGGCCCTGGGGCACCGATTCACTGAGTCATTCAATCCCCATTCGCTCTTCTATTAGCTGAAAACAAGTTCCCACAATGACGAGGATGATCTTTTTTATGGCTTTTGTTACAGATGAAATTTGAGGCCAAGAGATTAGCTGAGGAGGAAAGGCAGCAACGGGAAATGGTAGCCGTTTTGTTTTTTCTTGAGTTCTTAATGTTTTTTATTTAAAATTGGCAGTAGATGTCTATTTCAGCTGGTGGTGTCCCTGATGTTCACGTGCAGGAGCTGACGAGGCGGGAGGTGGTCAACGTTACTCACCTGGCCATTCCAGCTGAGCTGGCAGGACTCTTGCAGACTGTTGCAGGTAGATGGTATTACTTCATTGACGTTATTCTGAAACAGCACACCAACCCAGTTGTTTTTATTAAAACAATTTACCAAGGGCTGCTGTAGGACTTGAACCAACCTGGTGGTTATGAGACTTAGTCCATAAACATCGATGTTCCTATCTTCCTTTGTCAGTGGGTAGGGAGATGCACTCGGATTGTATTGCCCTGGTTGAAGCCCCCAGGATTGAGGTAGACTCTCAGCTCACCCTACCACTCGACATCAACAACCACCCTATCTCCAGATATGTACAGATTCACTTTAGGGTAAGAAGTGACACCTCAGGCAGCAGCATGCATATACTTAATATTCGTGTGCAGCATTAAAACTGACTAGGAACTAATAAGTTTAATCTAGCTACCACCTTGAAGGTGGCTTAGAGACTTGGACCTGCATCTGATCTTTGTATGTAACAGTCTCACCTTTGATTTGTAGGAGCCCAAGTTTGGCATGTTGATGGCACCTCTTGAGACCCCATTGACCCACGTACAGGATGACTTACGGAGAGAGGTCCTCGGCGTCTTCATCATGGTGAGGTCTTCATCAGCTTGTCCCTGCTGCTTGACCTTTTCCATTGTACCTCCTGCTCAGTGACCCAGTTGTCTCCGTTGAAGGTTCTGAGGTTCATGGGGGACCCCAATCTCAATGGGGCCCAGGAGAATATGTTTGGGAATTACATCGTCCAGAAGGGTCTGGCTGCACCGGGCTTGAGAGATGAAATCCTGTGTCAGGTCACCAATCAGGTCTGCAGGAATCCCAACCCATCCAATGCGGAGAGGGGCTGGCTGCTTCTGCTGGCCTGCCTGAGTGCCTTTGCGCCGACACAGTCGCTGGAGAAGTATCTGCTCAAGTAAGGGGTGGAGTCAGATGGTAGTTCTTCGGACACCGGCTTGACGTGCTTGACTACGCTTGGATGTTTAATGCTTTTCTCTCCCTAAGGTTTGTCTCAGACTATGCCCAGTATGGTTATGAGGCACCCTGTCAGCACAGGCTCATACAAGCCATGCAGAAGTCCCGGCTTGGCCCAGAGGCTGCGAGGACCCATCCGTTGTCTTTGTTGGAGTGGACGGCCAACCGGAAGAAAGCAAGCATGGTGCTTCAGGTTCACTGCTTTGACGGTGAGCGTTGATGTCGCCAATGTGATTTTTAGAGTGTATCATAGGCCCAGTGCCTTTCCTTTAATTAAGGTTCAAAGCTTCCAGAGTCATTTCTTTGTTTCGTTTCAGCAAAGGGTTGATTTTCTCCTGCAGTGTCTGGATTGGGACATCTCTTTCACTTCTTGTTTTCCATGTCACCAGGGTCTTCTTTCCTGTGTCCCCTTCACTGCTGGACTAGTGGGGAAGATCTGGCAGGGACCATCCTACAGCACAGGTTAGTTATGCAATGTGTAGCTTAGCATGGTGTGCTTAGCCCATGTAGCCTAGCATAGCATGGATCACTCTGCTGTGTAGCATAGCATGGTGTGCTTAGCCAATGTAGCCTAGCATAGCATGGATTACTATGCTATGTAACATAGCATGATGTGCTTAGCCCATTTAGCTTAGCATAGCATGGATCACTGTGCCTGTGTATCCTAGCATAGCATGCTATACCTTGGTGAGCAGTGTGTGTCTTTTATGTGGATGCTTTGGATCAGCCTTTTCTCCACATATGCTCCCTGTAGAGGTGTGGAAGATAGCTGGAGGGGCTGCTCCATCCTCATGAAGGAGCACAGCCAGTGGGTGGAGCTGGCGGGCCACGACTACGTGCTGGACCTAGTGGCCGACCTGGAGCTGGTACCAGGGTTCCCTAGGCAGAAATCCCACTTCATTGTCTCGTCGGAGGGCCCGTCCCAGGGCCGACCCCGCACCAGCCTGTAAGTGATATCCTCCCTTAAGCACCCCCCCCACCAGTCTGGCCAGCCATGGTTCACGTTTTTGGCAAGACACAAGGCATGTTTAAGAATAAGGAAGACCCTGAATAGAAAGCCATTAAAATTTATGCCATTAGCAGCTAAGGTTAGCACCAAAACATTGTAGCTAACATCTTGGGCGCCAGAACATTTTATCAATATTTATTCTTTATTTATACTAAGTAGTATTTAAACCTGCATATTTAGATGAACACTAATACACATTTCACATTTTTGTAAATGCGAATTTACTTGCTGTAATCTGTACTGATTTGCTCTTTTACTGTATTTTAAATCCTGTTTTATTCAGATTATTTAATTTAAGTTCTGTTTTGTCTTTGACTGTATGCACCAATACTGCCAAGGCGAATAGTACATGCAGGTATCCCTGGCCGATAGTCCGAATGCTAATTCTGAATTCTGATATGGTTAAGACTGATTACCCACACACCAGGGTCCCTAAGTTAATCGTTACTGAACAACATTACCACCTTTAAGTAAGTGAGAATTACTAATAGTGAAGTGGTCTCACTGTTCCAGGAACGGAAGATGAAGTTTAGCTAACTCCTGTCGAATGTAGGGTGTTACTGAATGAGAATACAGCTGTCTGTGGTCCCATTGGGTGGTCATCTTTGCTCAAACAATGATTGTCATGTGATCATTATATTTCGATTCCTATCCTGGTTCACCAATCCCACACGTTGACCTTGGCAGCGCCCTGTTTGGAAGCGGCTTTGAGTCAGATGAGGACTCTCCTGTCCAGCAGGACACCCCTCTCACCAGTGGCTTGGACTCCAATGGATTCTATGGCCATGGTGAGGTGCTGGAATGGGGACATGGACATATTTGTGGTATACTGGCCTCTGGAAGATTCTGCAAAAATATGGGGTCACTGAAAAAAACTCTTTACTTGCATAACATGGCAATTCTCAGACACTTGCTAGTGGAAATTAGCACACAGGAAAAAAAAATTATAATTGTGCATTGTAAATCACGATGTACACTGTGGGAACAGTAAATAAGCATCTCTTTGGTTTTAAGTCACTGTCGCTCAAACCCAGCAATGGCTTTACCAAGACAAAACCGAAGCGAGCTGGAACCGCACTGTAAATAGTCTGTCTTTGCAGTTCAGCTCAGGTACAGCTTGGTACATACAGTTTTTGGTTACTGTACAAGATTTAACTATTGATGCCTGGTGTATTCTTTACTGTATGGACTGCATTACCCATAAGGCCGTACTGTGGTCTTCTCTGTGGCCTCGCCATACAGAGTCTGACAGCTTCGCTGAGACTCCCAATCAGAAGGGCATGGACCGGTATCTCGACAGCCTCTTCGACCCCGTGTTCTCAGACAGCAGTGGGGTAAGAATGGCCGTCTTGTCACCTCCGCCTTTGGCTTTGGAAAGACCAGCCAGTTAATGTACATCTCTTAAATACAGAATCTGGCTACTCTGGGATAAACCCTCACCGATATGCTTGCAACTATTGTGTTTTAACATGCATTAACTGAGTTTTACGTGGCCAAATGTAGAGGTGGATTGGTCAGGCCCAGAAAATAAAAATCCAAGATCATAAAGAGCAGTTGATTATAAAGAGTCACAGTTTGATTGAAACAAAATTATAGTCTGGATTTTTTCTTCCTGGACGTGAATTAAGGGCTAAATTCTCACTGGGAATGAAGTTTGGTTGAGGTATTTGAATGTACAGGTTGCTGGATTATGTGCTCCTGGCATATGGCAGTTTGCGCAGTTCAAGTCCTGGCATCAACTGAGGCCCAGAGGAGGGGAGGAGGGAGCGATTAAATTACCCCGTTACCATAATTCCCGTAGCACAGAGGGCCGTACATTCCTTCTGCTGAAGATTCATTTGCTACCTATTTTTTGTGGGTGACCTTCTGCTGACCGGGCACGAATTACAGAGGGAGCTTGTTTTTAAGCAGAAGCATGCATTACACACCATAATGTCCAGAACCGTGAGGTTTAATGACAGTAAAGTATACAGTCACAGAGTGGATGGGCGCAGATAGTCCAGACAGTGTGGTAAGTGTGCACCTGAGTTTTTGTTATGCTTGGGTCCTCACAGCCCGGAGAGCAGGGGGATAAACGCTAACTGGGGTCGCCCTCGCTTAAGGGTAGTACGGTAGTCCCTGGTGAGGGAGATTAATTTTCACCCAACCTCAGAGCCGTGGGGAGTCGCACAGGCTGACGGTTACTCTACGTAAGTTACTCTACACTCCATTCGCGACCTCCTTGCCTGTCTCTTCATCTCTCTCTCCTTTGCAGGACCCAGAGAAGTCCACCAGCATCTCCGGCAGGATGAAGGGGGGTGGGGGGGTCGGAGCGACGACAGGGGGGAGGACCCAGCCCGGCGGCCGCGGACACTACCCCCCAGGACTGCAGCCTGGAGGTGAGCCCGCCGCCCAGGAAGCTGGCCCGAGACCTTCCCACATTGAGCTCTCTGGCTCATGGACCAGGATGCTTGTGGTCAAACTGGACATGATTCCTGTCCTTAGGAACCCAGCTTTTGTGACGGACAGGCGGCTGTTAGGTCGCTGTGATTCAGGCAGCATGTTTTTCTCCTTTATCCTGTTGCTATAGCAGGCCGAGTGATAATATTGAGTGTAAAAAGGACAATGACCACCCCTCTCCTCATGGATAATTGAGTGACTATCCTATGCACCCCCATGCGAGGAGCGTTTGATGGACTGTGGGCCCCCTGCCGCTAATCTGAAACATGATCCGCATGCATTTCTGAGCTGAGGGGGAATTTATCATGCTGTGGGGCTGGTTTTTATTTGAGTGCTAATAATTACAATTACAATTATTAAAATCATGCAGTTTAAAATAAGATCATTCAGATCTGGGTGTTTTCTCCAGCCTTGTGGGCAGTTGGCGCTCTTGAGGGTCATGCTAACTTGCCTGACTGACCCACAGCTGTGCAGGTCCTACCTGTGAAGGGGACCATGGTACCAGGGGTCAACCCGGTGCCACCCATCTCCCGCACTGTGGAAGAGACATCGGCCACGCCCCCTACACCGGCCACGCCCCCCACATCAGTGCCACGCCCCAGGCCCAACCCCACACCGGCCACGCCCCCCACGTCCATGACACACCTCACGTCAGCTGAAGAAGGGATTCCGCCTGCCCCAGTGATGCCGCCCTCGCCAGCGATGTACGCTATGCCACCGATGGGCACTGTACCAGGAATGCCACCGATGCCAGGGATTCCTGTGATACCCAATGTGCCGGGTATGGAACACATACCATCTCTATGGCTGTGACCTTGTACTGCTGTGTGAAACACAGATGCATGGATGACTATCTTTATCTTATTATATTAAGTGGCGTTTTTTTCACTCTGACAGCAAAACAAGGATTAGACAATCGGTTTTAAGTACGACGACAGGAGAAGGTTACTTTTTTATTTCCTGTTCCTTCACAGACACAAAAGGATCTCATGTGTCAATGCATAGGTCTCGCTTTTATCCATCTCATCCCATAGGTGCAGAGCAAAGCGTTCTGGCCCAGCAGCAACAAGCCATCATCAACCAGCAGGCCATCATCTTGGTTGGTGTCTTTCCCACAATGCTCCCGGATGCTACTCTCCTTTAGCCTCTGTTAGCCTCTGTTGGCCTCTGCATGCCTGCTTCTCCATCTGTCCACCAGGCTCAGCAGATGACCATGCAAGCCATGGCCCTGCAGCATCAAATGTACAGCGACCACATGACCAGCCCCGTGAGCGGTCACGTGACCAACCCTTACGTCAATCCCTATGCGAGCTCTCAGCCCCATCACCCTCCGCTGACCCCTCTGCCTCGGGCCACCCTGCCGACTTCCGTAAGTCTCCACCTGCTTCTAGCCACCCCCCACCCCCTGCCATGCCCCCTTCCTTATAGCCATGACCTCTGACCGCCCATCACTATTTCAGAGCGCTCCCATGGCGGGAAGCCCACTTCGGAGCCAGGCGAGGCCCCCACACCATGGTGCGTCCATCACCTGACAGGAAGTGCCCGGGAACAACATGTGGGCAGAGTGTCATAAAGTGACCAACCTGTAATTTAGGACCCCACCCGAGCAGGCCTGCCAGTCTCTAGGCACAGTGCCTCCTCTGTCCATCCACCCAGCCCTAACCCCACCCGAGCAGGCCTGCCAGTCTGTGGGCACAGTGCCTCCTCTGTCCATCCACTCAGCGTTCTCTCTGCCCAATTGCCTGTGCAAACCAGCAGGTCCCAGGCCACTGCATGCATGTCTGTGTGACAACTTGTTTCAATTAATGTACACAAGGGTGTAGTGATTCAGGGCTGTACTCTGATGCTCCAGATTTGAGTTTCATCACTGGGGCCTACAACAAATGACTCAGAAAATACTAAATAATTCTCCATGGTTACTCTTTGAGTTATTGTTACTATGTGGAAAGGTGTGGTCCACTTGGATTATGTGCATGGATGAGCATTTCAGTGTGGTTGTAGGTCGCACACCCCTGCCTCCCTCCCCAGCCCTGCCCGGCAACGTGGTGAGGTCCTCCGTCACCAACGCGGAGCACATCGAGCCCAGCCACAACATCAAGGACATCATCAAGCAGCACCAGCCTGGCCCGCCGCTCAGGCCCTCCGAGATCGCCAGGTCCCCGCCCGCGCCTCGCCGCTTAGCGCTAGATCCGCCCTCGAACCTCAGTCTTTAACATTTGCTGCCCCCACCCTGGGAACAGGAAGGAGGGGAAGGTGTTCGTGAAGAAGACGGACCCGCATGATGAAGCCATGAGCATCCTGAAGGGGCAGATAGACACTCAGCCCCCCCAGGCAAGTAAAACCTCGTGAAAACAAGTGAAACCTGACGTTAACAACCACTTTTGGGCATCATCACAAAATCACCAATTGAGGTCAGCAACAGTCACTTGTCAGAGAGTGATGTCATTTTGAGGGTTCCATCTGATCTTGCTGAGGCAGGCCCCCACTGCCCCAGCTCCTACCCTGTCCCCAGCAAAAGCCCCCAAGGACGGTGCCCCCACCCCCACTGCGGACAGGAGCGCCAAGGCGAGGCCCCCAAAAGCGCAGCTACCTGTGGAGTCTGACAGACCCCCAGCCCCACTGCCAGGTGAGCATGAGAAACTACCCCCTGGGTGGATTCGAGCTTCCCAGTCTCACCTAATGCTCCATTAACACAACATGACACTGTTTGACACTAATACATCACTCATAGTGTCCTGCTTAGGGAAAGAAATATTAAAAATCCACTTCTGTAATGACATTTTAGTCCTGTATTAATCTAGAATTATGTTGCGCTAGTTTTTAGTCTAGTTTCTCAATGGATAGCTTGAATGGAGGAGATGTTGTCTCATAAATGTTATTTACGATAAAAATACAGTGTTCATAAAATTGAGAAGGATAAATCACGATGTATTTGGAGGGGTGCCACAGGTGCATTGTGGGTAGTGAGTGGTTGGCACGTGCTGCACATGCAGTGTCTAGGGAGCTGCCGGTGGAGGAGGAGAGCATACAGACGCAGCTGCACCGGTGGAGCAGTGAGGAGCATTACACTTACGTCAATGTGCCCTGGAAGCTCTATCTGCGGAAGGAGGTGAGAGGCTACAACCATTATAGGCCACACCCCCATAGGCCACACCTCTCATCATGCCACCAGGCCACACCCACATATGCCACACCCCTATAGGTCACACCTCTCATCATACACATTCAGTTTCATAGCTGTTATGTAGAATGACAATGATATTAATTAATAATCTGTTTTATTTTCTTTCACAGGTTTTCTACCCTAAAGACAGTTTTAATAACCCTCTACTGCTGGACCTCATATTCAGACAGGTGTCTCTTACAATGCCAACATATTTGTCTATCTGATGAAGGTAACGACTTTTATATGTAAGCTTTTCCTTCTGGCCTCCCTTGTTTCTTCATGTCCCTCAGATAGTCCATGACACGTTCTCCGAGGCCTGCATCCGCATCACGGCAGAGGAACGCCAGAACATGAAGTCGCTGTTTGGTAAATGCTGCCCCACCCCAATCACGGCCCTGTACCCCGTGGACATGTGGTCTGCGGCAGCTGAACAGAATCTCTCTGCTGCCTCCTAGTGGAGAACCGCATCGAGCTGAGCTCCGCGCCACCAGACGAGGGCGTGAAGAAGAAGGTTGTCACTACAGCCAGAGACACCTGGGAGATTTACTTCTCCCGCCTCTTTCCTGCATCTGTGAGTCTCTTCCAGATTCTCCCTTTATGTCCCACACACACACACACACACACATATAAAACAATCAGAGAGACACAGCAGCAGTTTCTCACAAAGAGTGGTGTGTGCACTGTGTGATTCTGCATGACCCCTCGTGACCCCTGTGACCCCATCGTGTCTTGCAGGGCAGCGTGGGAACTGGAGTCCAGGTGCTGGCCGTGTCCCATAGGGGGATCAAGCTGCTGAGGATGGTGAAGAGCAGTGCCTCAGCACAGGAGTTCTTCCGGGTTCTTCGGCCGTACAGGTTGGACGGGGGAGTACACCCGGAAAACTTTGGTTAAATACTATAAATCTGCTATAAATCTAATTTGGAGCAAACCTCATGAGCAATACAAAGCTGAGGTGATAAAGAATAAAAATAATATGGTTGTCTTGGAGATCGCATGCAGTGCTCATGCAAAAGCAGTGGCAGTAAACTTTGTATTGATTTATTTAAACCTATATTAGGTAATGGTGAAAAGGAACCATCATTAAAATTGCAAAGCTTCCCAAGTTTGCTTTCCTGTGACGAAGTACATGTTCTAGCACTATTTATTGATGGTTTGAACCCAGCAGACTGTGGCGGTCCTGGCAATATGACGACTGCATGTACATGAAAGGCCATGTGGGTAGTGTACTTGGCGCACCGTGCCAGCCTAGGGGTACAGTGTCACAGCGGGTAGCTGCAAAGTGCTGTTGGTTCCTGCCTTGTGCCAACTGCAATGTATCAGTTATATTATATTATATAATCGATTATTTGATGAATCATCAGATTAATCAGTACATTGTTTGATCATTAATATAATCAATAGTGAGAGTCCTACTTAAGGAGTCATTTTCATTTTACCTTCCCTCTTTCCAGCTACACGGACATCATGTTCGTCACCATTCCCTCCAAGAACATGCTGGAGTTCAACCTGACCAACGAGAAGCTGATCCTCTTCTCCGCGAAAGCGCCGCAGGTCAAAGCCATGATCGACTTCTTCATCACTGAGCTGAAGAAGGTGGGCCCAGGAACACACCCGCCCCCCTCCCACCCAGCCAGGAAGGCGTCATGCCCGCTCACGGCTCCTCACCTGTCTCTCCCGCCGTAGGACTCGGATTATGTAGTGGCGGTGCGTAATTACATCACCGATGACCGGTCACTGCTCAGCTTCCATAAGGGCGACATCATCCGGCTGCAGCCCATGGAGGGCCTGGAGGAGGGTGAGACACCTCAGTGAGCTTACACACAGCAGCCAGCAGGTGGCATGCCGGTTACAGTACGACGGCGCTTTGATAGAGCTCATCAGGTGTCTGAATGGGTTTGGGCACTAACCGCAGCTGTGAACCTCTGACCCGCTGGATGTTTCTCAGGCCACTACTACGGCTGCATTGTGAAGAAGAAGGTGATGTTCCTGGAGGAGATAAAGAGAGACACCCCTGACTTTGGTGGGTCTGTGTGCGGTGTAGGCCTCGCATGCGGACGCGGTGTAGGCCTCGCATGCGGACGCGGTGTAGNCGGTGTAGGCCTCGCATGCGGACGCGGTGTAGGCCTCGCATGCGGACGCGGTGTAGGCCTCGCATGCGGACGCGGTGTAGGCCTCGCCGCTATCGTTTGCTGTGTCCTCAGGCCCGACTGAACATTATCCAGCAGGAAGTTCTGATTCCTGACGTCGTGCTTTACCGCTGGGCCCTCGTGACCCCGTTTTGTGTTTTGTGTCTGGTTTAGAACCTTCCCCTTCTGGATCTCCTCTCTGCATGTCGTGCTTTGGCTGCTGTGCGTTGCAATGGGTGTTACTGAGCCCAAGAGAGTGTTCGGCTCTACTGAACACCCTGCTAACACTAGGGTCTCCATTCTCATCAGCTGAGAAGCTAGGAATCTGTGTCTCTGTTTCATGCACGCATTTTTCCCCTTGACCCGCCAAGGCTGGAAGTTCGGGGCCGTCCACGGCCGCTCCGGCACGTTCCCCGCCGAGTTCGTCCAACCAGTGGCCGCCCCCGACTTCATCAGCCTACCCGTGGACAGGAAGGAGGAGCCCAAGAACAAGGAGGGGCGCGTGGCGGCATCAGCGGCGGTGGCAGTAGCCGTGGCGTCCACTGCGGCAGCGCATGAGTTGGACCGAACCACTGAGGTGTGTAGGGGGGTTGGATGGCAGGAATTGCCTGCCGCTCTTAACCACTGACTGACAATGTCATGCTATGCATCAAATCTTCCACCACACATCAATCATTAGCAGGATTGTTGTATTCAAGCCCAAGACTCATGTGTGGGCAAAGAAAAAATAGATAATGAACGGGAAATTGTCTTACTGGTTTACCTGTAGTGTACTTTTGAAAATAGCCCTGCCATTGGATTGCTCTGTCATCTGTTTTTGCATGTAACTAGACTTTTTTCAGTTATTCCTAATGACTTGGACTCACTCACTGGTCACTGGACTTGGACTTGAGTACCCATGATTCAGACTCAGCCACCTTTCACCACTGAAATGACAGTATTACTGATGATGTAGTACCAAGGTTTTTCCACTAGGTGGCTCCAGCTGTCAGTGAGTACACCGATGCTTATGAAGGCGGCACTGCAGAGGTGGATGAGAGGATGTTACAGGACAGCAGATACAGTATGGTGGAGTTTGCCAAGAAATACTTCAGGGAGGCCCAAGGCAAAGACAGGTCTGCTTTTAACCTTTTTTATTTTATATTTTGGTTTTTTGTGTCTCCCTTGTGATAACCTGGTGCTCTGTCCAGGATGTACCAGTGTCTTGAATGTAGTGCTGCCTGCGATAGGCTCCAGGTCACCACCAAGACCCTATATTGGATAAGTAATTGGATGGATGGATGGATGGATGGGTACACAAAATAAAGGTGGACTAATTTCTGCTATAAATATTTCAATACTTCTGTCTTCCAGCAATTCATATAAACAGAGGTCTAAGAAAGGCAGAGACTCAAGGGAACCGTCCGATATGGTGAAATATTCCAAGGTAAGAGCTGTGGCTGACAGACACAGCTAGTGTGTTCTTGAGAAGTACAGCCTGCGTCAGTATGTCGGTTTGCCGTGCTGACGGCTCCGTTTGGGAGGGGGGGGGTTGGGGGGGTGGGCTGCTTGTGCTATATCATCTCTGTTTGTCCCAACAGTCCCCAGTTCCGGAATCTTTGATCGATTTCACTGATGAAAACATGAACAAGGTGGCAGCGGATATTTTCCTGGGTAGGTTATGGGTTCTGTACTGGTTCTTTTCCACTGCCACCAAGTACCGAGCTGCACCTGAGCCAAACTGCAAAGAGATGCTTCTCCATTGTAAAGCATGAAGCCGGCCCTGCGCTGACACGGCCCTGCTTACTAGCCGGTCTGAAAGCATGACCAAATCCAGCTGGCTGTGTCACCACCACCTGATTGGCATGGAGACAAGAAAGAGCCGACCATCTGCGTCGATATGGACGGTTTAGTAGTATTGCGCATTGCCATGTATTCATTTTCAACATGAAACTTTCCAGCCTCCTACTTGTAAAAGAACAGCAGAGCAGAAAGGATTCCCAGTGCCAATTTATGCATGCTAATGCTACTTCCACTAGCGTTTGATGCTAACGTAACACGACGCTTGTCACAGATGTACTAAGAGAAGTGTAAACAGTAAACAAGCGTCTCTTTGGTTTTGCGTTGCTGTTGCTCTCCAAACCCAGTAACGCCTTTACTGAGCCAACCCTTCTGCAGTGGGAAATCAAAGTGAGCTGGAACCGCACTGTAACTAGTGTCACTGCATGGTGTGAGGCCTGTATAGCCAGTGGAAAAGCCCCATATTTTCCTCTCTTAGCTGTAATGGAACTTCTATTGGTGGAAGCGTTCATCTTAAGAGGCACTGTAAATCACTTATTGTTTCGTGTGTGTTTGTGTTCAGCTGTGATGAAGTTCATGGGAGACTACCCCCTCAAGGGCCAGACAGAGCAGGAGGTCGTCAACACCTTCCTAAGGGTACGGAAGGGGCCTTGTTTGCTTTGATGCGGCGCTGCTGTTAAGTGGATGATTTTCATTCTTGCCCACGACCCCACAGCTTAGCGGGGAATACGCACTAATGAAGGATGAAGCTTACTGCCAGGTCATCAAGCAGATAACTGCCAACACCAGCCCCAAAATGTACGCGACGCCGCCGTGCCCCGTGCCCCGTGCCCACCCCCCTTCAGAAACGCCTGCTGACCCTCACTCCTCTCTCCCCTGCGGTCCGCAGGGACAGCTGCCAGAGGGGCTGGCGCCTGCTCTACATCCTCACGGCCTACTACCGCTGCTCCGAGGTGCTGAAACCGTTCCTGCTCAAGTTCCTGCAGGATGTGGGCCGGACCGCTGGCGTGCACTTCCAAGGTGCGCCCCCTGGTGGTCGACGTTACCATCCAAAGAAAACTGACTAATCACAACAGTCACTTCTCATAGCATCTCCTTGTCATTCTTCAACTGGAAATGGTAGGAGGAAAGTGATTAGTTGTCATTCTTGACACACCAGTGCAGAACAGCGAGATAGGTCCTCTACATTTAACCCATTTGTGACAATGTGACATAGCAGGGGGCAACTAATTCAGCACCCGGGGAGCAGTGCTTGGGGGCGGTACCTTACTCAGGGTACCTCAGTGCTACCTTGCTGGTCAGGGATTCAAACCAGCAATCTTTCAGTTTCAAGTGTGTGTCCCTAACCATTAGGCCCCCAGTGCCACCAAAAACAAGGTGATATGTTAAAAAGTTTTATATGAAGCGGAAATGTGACATCAATCTGGTGCTGCTGTTGACAGGGATCGCAAAAGCTTGCGAGCAAAATCTGAGGAAGACTTTCCAGTATGGTGGGCGTACTCAGTTTCCAAGTAACATGGAACTCAAAGCCATGGTGGTAGGTCTACTCAGATGTTCTTCCAGCACCCAGCCATGACCTCAGAGCTGGCTCCAGACTTTATTTTCCTTCTCCGTGGAGCTCTGGAACATTAACTGCATGCTTTTGGGGTTTTTTTAGGCCGGCCGAAGCTCCAAGCGGCAGCTCTTTCTCCTGCCTGGAGGCATTGAGCGCCACCTCAAGGTCAAAACTTGCACGGTGAGTCTCCATGCTCTGGTGGGATCAATGGATGGATGAAGGTATAAGAACTCTTCAATTCGTGAAGGTAAAGATATTCTCTTCTGCTCCCTCTGCTCAGATTGCCCTAGATGTCATCGAAGAGCTCTGTTATGAGATGGACCTGCACAGGCTAGAAGCCATGGATGAATATGCTGTCTTTGTGGTCACTAACAGAGGTGAGAGAACCTGCAACCTCACATTGCCAACCTGCTACGGAAGCGGTCGGGTTAATCCTCCCACTATACAGCACGGTGTCCTGTGTCTGCATCCCTCTGCAGGTCAGAACGTTCGCCCCCTGACCAAGAAGGAGTACATTCTGGATGTGGCGACGGAAGCCGAGCCCATCGACAGCAGCTATAGCTTCTGGTTCCGAAGGGTAATCTGGTGCCACCCAATGAAGTTTGACAACGAGCTCTGCGTCACCATGCATTACAACCAGGTGCCGGTGACCGCTACCCACCCCGGTGTTGGGACCGAGATAGAAATCTACATCAATCGCTTACGCTCGAGCTAACACAAGCACTCTGCATTGTGCAACGCAAATGCCCAGGTTCTCCCAGACTACCTGAAGGCCCTGCTCAACACCATACCTCAGGGGAAGGTCAGCGAGCAGCAGCTCCAGCAGCTGTCCAAGCTGGCCGCTTTGCAGCACCGCGCTTCCGACAGTGTCTACTTGCCCACCATGTAGGTCCAAGAGGCTCCTCATCTTCCTGACCTGTAACTGGCATGTTTTGCATCACAAGAATTGGAGGATCTCTGATTTTCCAAGATCACCGAGTCTACAGGCAATCAGGTTGTTTATCAGTTGGTAAAAGTTTTGTTTCGGGAACTGGGATGAAGGTAACAACCTACCCTTAAAAAACGTTAGACTTATTAACACATTTGGTATCTCCAATGTTGCCAACTCTCACACATCTGGCGTGACACTCACGCTTTCAGACTCAGGCTTCACACAAGAAATATTATGGGAAATCTATATTATTCCATTATAAACCTAAAATTAGCTACATCAAATGCACTGGGGTAGTTTGCAAACCCTATTTACAAGGTAGTTAAACTGTTACATACATGTATCTGCATGTGCATGTGTGTGCAGACTTGTCTCGAACTGAAAATCTCACGCCAGCCAGCTTACCAAAGAAGGCAACTCCATATCTCTGGGCTGCAGAAGTTAGCTTTCATCGCTATGTTAGACTTAACACATTTTCTATCTCTGAGCGGTCAAAGTTAGCTTTAATAGCTATGTTAGACTTACTAACAAATTACCTTTAATCACTACATGAATCTCATTAACACAAGCACCATAACAGCTCTGATGGTCATGTCTGATGATCCTGTGTTGACTCTGTGTTGACTGTGTTAATGGCCCCCAGCCGGGAGGTGCAGGACTGCATTCCCCCACAGCTCTACGGACCGCAGCGTCCTCAGCAGTGGTTAAACATGGTCACCCATCACATGCAGCAGGTCCAGGCCCTCAGCCCACACCAGGCCAGGGCCCAGTTCCTGGGTAAGGCATCGTTTTACCGAACTATAACCTTGAATTTTGTCTCTAGGGTCATTTAATCATTCAGCTTGCATGTGTAACATCTGCGTGCTCTGCTGTGCCGGTCCCCCCCCCAGGGCTGATCAGCGCCTTCCCCACGTTCGGCTCGTCCTTCTTCTACATTCAGAGCAGCAGCAATGGCGCCATCATGGCTCCCTGCATTCTGGCTGTCAATCAGAACGGCCTCAACTTCCTCAACAAAGACACCCACGTAGGTCTTGCCCTGACCTTCTGGAGCAACCGGTTTAGGTTCAGCTTCATCTCTAACTACCAAACCTACTAATGCTGATCCTTCTCAGGAGGTGATGGTGAAGTTCCCCCTGAAGGAGGTACAGTCCACACGGACCCAGAGGCCAACAGCAGGTTCCAGTTTCCCATACGTGGAGATCATGCTGGGGAACCTAATGACTCAGCGTATATCCCAATTACAGCTGGAGCAGGTAGGACCCTGGGGGTGGCCTGTATATTGCCAGACTAAAACTCCATTGATTTCACACAGCTTATTCCTCAGTCCCCATGGATGGCCAAAGAGCAGCCTTCTCTTCCTTCACTTGTAACTCTGCCCATAGAGTCTGGAGCTCTGTCGTGTCATTGCCATGCACGTGGAGAACCTGCTGTCCATGCGGGAGAAGCGATTGACGCTGCCGCCCAGCGAGATCACCTTACTGTAAGGACAAAGGGGTCCATCTCCAAGTCAGCCATACAGACAACAACTCTTCATCCTGGTACATGCATTTATCCAGTGACTTATAAAGTTTACATATTTTTTCCAATGTTTTTTTTTTCCACAAAATAAAGATATTTAAAATAATCAAGTCAACAGTAATGTCTAATTCTTTAAGTGCGGCAACACAAGCTGGAAAAAAAGCGTCGGACGCCTGAAATGAGTTCATTGGAATATTCAGATGTACCAAACAGTCTCACAAATCCCATAGTTTAATGCTAACGGGTGAAAAGACATATGTGATCTGATGTTTAAAATGCAATGTGTTGTATTTATACACCCAACGTGTCTCTATGGATATTTTAAATGTATGTAAACGAAGACTGAAATCAATTAATAGCGCTATTTTTGTAAAACATTAAATATTTATATAGAAACTGGATGATCTCCTTTTTTATTCATGCGCGGAACAACCAACTCTTGATCGGAACTCCTGATGTCTCGAGGCACGTGTGTGGATGGCGATCCCCTCTCTAAAGCGTATCTCCTCACGAAAGGTTAATAGGTCGCTGCCTATTCGGATGGCCGGGAGTCGAGTATCTAAAGCGGCCGAGTGTTATAAATATAACAACAGCTGCGCAGTCAGTCACCCGGCCAGCGTTCAAATAGGATTTCTTTGCAATCTCGATGGTTCTCCCACGTTGATAGTGGATCACACACCTCTTCAGGTCTAACACCAGCAAGAAGCAATTCGGTTCATTAAGACTATGGCAACTACATTAATAAAAGAATAACACTGCAAAACCATATCGTTTATGTATGACACAATTACTGTGGATTTCAAAACTCAGTACATTCGAGCTGTCATGGCCTCGTTGCTTTATATCACCGGCTGTAAATAGCAAATACACATCATTGATAAGTTTTTAACAACGCACGCAGTACAGAATTCACCGAGAGTAAAACTCCTTAACTCTCCTCCTCTTCACAGCCTTTTCGTATTTACATATTATGACTGACGTTTATTCCAACCAATGGTTTTTAATAACGATCCATGGCACTCTGTAATAACCAATCAAAATATTCATAGGGCGTGACATAGGAAGTATTCGCGCGTCCTCTCAGTGACTGTTGCAATGCTTGACAACGGTAAACTATGCGAAACTAGGAGATACGCTGGGGTGTACGTATAAACAGTGACCAACAAGCTATTTTAATGAAGTGGAGAGAGGTGAGACGACATTGCCAGTGATCGACTTTGGGGGGTATTCAAAGATCTTTCTCGTATTTTTAATTAAACAAGCTGTTGCTATGGATAAGCAAAAGGCGTAAACTGGTTCGTCGGAGCAAGCGCGGTATGCGGCGCATGCGTGGACGTTGCAGTGGGTCACACGAGTTTATTTCTCGACTCTGCTTCTTTTTATGTAAGTGACTGAAACGCAGGACAGGGTTATAAAAGTACGGCGATACACGCTGTCCCAGGTTCGCCGTTTTCTCTAGTTTGCCGGGTAGGACGTTGCATGTACGTGGAATTTCAGAGATTTATGCGAATGTGTTATTTTAAAAGGATGCTACAGGCTAGCTGAAATACACGCAGAAATAGCGATTGCCTGAGAATAAGGACGCATATGTTTGCATATTCAGCTTATATGCATCGTTCAACAAATATAGTTTACAGAAGGATTGCTGGTGCGCTGTGTCACGTTTGCATTTTGGATGTCCAGGTAGAATAGTAGAATAAAATGAATTAGGTGCCTGATCAACCAGTTAATAATTCAGCCCTAAAGTCAAAAACATGTGAGTAGATTTCAGTTTTTGTGGGAGTGCTGCTTAAGGAACCGGCGACTCTTTTAGTGCGTGTAAGATGGCAGCAAGTGGCTTCACCGACTTAAGGGAGAAGTTGAAGTCGATGACCCCGCACAGGGAGACCCCTCGGAGCGAAGTTTCGCAGCCGGGCTACGGACGCAAGCGGAGACGCCGGGATTCGGACGGCGAGCAGAGCGACCACGAAGAACAGCGGGAGCTGCAGGCGCACCGGGTGAAGAGCTGCGTCAAGCAGGACAGCATCTTCAGTGCCGATGAGTGCCTCCGCATCGAGTCCAAAATCGACGAGGTGGTCGCCAAAGCCGAGAAGGGTCTGTACCGGGAGCACACCGTGGACCGGGCGCCCCTCCGCAGCAAGTACTTCTTCGGGGAGGGCTACACGTACGGCGCCCAGCTGGAGAAAAGGGGGCCGGGTCAGGAGCGGCTCTATTCCAAAGGCGAGGTGGACGAAATCCCGGACTGGGTGTACGAGCTGGTCATCAAGAAGCTGGTCTCCAGCCGCGTCATACCCGAGAACTTCGTCAACAGTGCCGTCATCAACGACTATCAGCCGGGAGGCTGCATCGTGTCTCATGTGGACCCCATCCACATCTTCGAGAGGCCCATCGTCTCCGTGTCCTTTTTCAGTGACTCGGCTCTCAGCTTCGGCTGCAAGTTTCAGTTCAAGCCCATCCGTGTGTCGGAGCCCGTGCTGTCTCTCCCCGTCAAGCGGGGGAGCGTCACTGTTCTCAGGTACGTGTAGAAAAGATGAGGAATAAAAGGTTCAAAAACAATTTAGAGTGTATTTGTCTAAGGTACAAAAGCAAGTCGTCTTCTTGGATTGAAACTAGAACTTCTGCACCGTTTACCGCTGCCCAACTTGGTGTATCAGAAAGGGACTTTACCTAAAATGTATGTTATGGTTTAAGTAATAAATTCAAGGACATTTTCACAGCAGTGGTCCAAAGATGCTCCTCTTTCTAATTGCAGTGGATATGCAGCAGATGAGATAACCCACTGCATTCGGCCGCAGGATATCAAAAAGCGAAGAGCTGTCATCATACTGAGGAGGTGAGATGTCATTTCTCCCTCCACGGAAAAGCTTGTTGGCAAAACGTTTCCTCATCTCGAAACACAGTCGGCCAGTGTAACTTTGTGCATAATTTCTGTAATTTGCCTTTTTTTCCCCCCCCTCCAGCTTATTGGTGGCTCTTTAGAGACCCTCCTTGACTGTCAGCATTTCCACTGTATTTCGCAGAACCAAAGCGGACGCCCCGCGACTGGACCTAAATCTGGCCGGTGATGCGCTCTTCTCCAGCTTCACCCCCAGCAGACGGAAGATGCTAAGGGCTAAGCGGTCTCGCCAAAAGGCCGACCCAGATGCAGCACACAGGTAACCTTCTGGAAGTCCTTATCCCCCCCGCCCCCCCCGGCAGTCATAAGACTAACATTCACGTGAAAGGAAAAGTGACATGGGTAACATATGCATTTATTATAAGGCTGACCCTTAACAATATCCCTGTGTATCAAAGACCTGTTCCACCTTCACGGAGATCCTGAGATCCTTGCTTGATTGATCCAGTCCGTGCCGAAGGCTCCTTTCTTTGAAAGCAGTCGTCCCTGTTTCTGCGGCATCCCTCTAGGAGGCCTCGGTGTTGGACTCGCTTGGCGTGATGCCGCCTGTTTCTCTTGCAGGCCCCGGATCCTCGAGATGGACAAAGAGGAGAACCGGCACCCGTCGCTCATCTGCGGGCACAGGTGCCGGAGCGGCGTCTCCCTGGATGGTGCGCGCCGGAGGTTCCGTGATCCTGGCAGGATCGTGAAGAGGGAGAGACGCTGAGCAGGCGGGCACCTAGGCGACTCAGCTCTGTCCACAATTCCCGTTTTTATTTATCTTAGACATCAGGAACCTCAAATCTTGGACTCTGCTGTCCGTAATGAACGCTGCTCTGTGCCAGAGGTTTCCATCTCCTAGCAGATTCTCTGGAACAGTGTTTCCCAACCCAGTCCTCAGGGAACCCCAGACAGTCCACGTTTTTGCTTCCTCTCAGCTCACCTGTACCAGGTATTCGGTGTTCCTGATTGGCTGGGAGGGAGCAAAAACATGGACTGTCCAGGGTTCCCTGAGGACTGGGTTGGGAAACACTGCTCTAGAAGTCCTCGTCTCACAACTGTAGCTTGACTTTCTGCATGTTCGGCTTTTTTTTTGCCCCCGCCCTCACCCGTTATGGTGATGATGTTGCAGAACGTGATGTAGCACCTTAGAGTAACCATTCCGGTTCAATTTATGATTTATTTCAAATAGTTAAATCTTTGCACATTAGATATAACATGACTGAACATTTTCAGAGATTGGGGTCTTTTCAGTTACAGAAATTGCAATATAAACCATATGTGGTATTTCTCTTCCTCCCCAAATCCCATGCAGCACTTTTAATTATTATTATTACTACTACTGCTACAGAGACTACATAAGTTTGCTTATAGTATTGGGGCATATCTGTCTCTCTATATAAGATCTGAGCTATTAGGTATATATTTTCTGTAAGCCCTGTTTGTTTCAGTGACTCTCCCACTTCATAAATTACTTTTCTTGGAAGTGTATAGATTTTTTTAGTCTTATTCAGAAGTTGCCATAATAGGTCACTTGTGCAGATTTGCATCTCATTTCAGTGACTTCAGTGCTTTATGCTGTTGAATTACCATTAAGGGGTATGTATTTTGCATAACAAGTATTGCATTCAAGTCTATGCATTGCTTTTATTCAATTCTGCATGTAAGCGAGGGGTTTTCAGGATTCCTCTGAAAGGATTTGCTCGACTTGTTGTTTTAAGTGCTGGGGAACGTGGGAAGTGATTTTTCAAGGATTCCAAAGGAATTGCTTTTGGAGCATTTGTGTTTATTAATTGCCCGATGGTGTTCAGACTACCACCTACAAAAAAGTGTTAAGGATAGGCTATAATGCTGCTGCTTCAGCATTTTGGTGAGGAAATGATTTTGTATGAGTTCATGACGTACATCTGACGTTTTCATTTGTTTTGTTGAGGATGCCGTTTGCGAATGTGTGTGTATACGACTTGGACCGGTGAACAGATATAAATGGATAAATGAAGAATTGGTATGTAATAAGGGAAATGTATTTTTATGTACAAATGTCTCATTCTGTTTATTTCTTGTCCGTGTTTCTGTAGCCCTACCGACACTTGACACCAAACAAATCTTGCTATATATATTTATTACTTGTGGTGCCACTCGCTTTAAAAGTTGACAGTTGTGTAATAAGACTCAGTATGACTTTCATTAGTTAAATTAGTTACAGTAAAGCAAGTCAAAGGTGACTAGTACCCAATGGAAGTAGATGCGGCAAAATATATTTCTTCGGTGACTTACTCTGCCCACAAGGGGGCAATGGAAGGTAAATGGCTAAGATTGCACAGGATAAATACATTTCCAGGGTAATGGAGTATGCATAGTTACATGATCTCGTAAACATGGTCTCTTAAAAGAAAGTAAAATTAAATTTAAATACTACAGAAAACGTAAGAATTTTATGTATTACGTAATGTAAACAGACGTCGAATGGTCAGTTTAAATGCCCGCCATTAAAACTACAGTATTTTTTTCTCTTTTTACATAAAAAAATAGTTGGATCCTGCTTTACAGTTCTGGCAGGCACCAGGAGGGGCTCGATAATCGGCTTAAAAAACGCATCGACGATACTCAGTTTATCATGTTTTAGCTCTTACAGCAGCCAAATCTTTCGGTGTTGAACGATCAACTACAAAAATATAATGCTATCCTGCGGTTCTGCTTAATTTAATTTTTTTTAAAAGTCTTTTTATGCTATCAGACCCGTAATCTATGCACGTTAAAGAGCAAGTCCGGGTCACTTAAAAAGCAGAACGTAAACCGCAGTTTCTGCAGGATTAAACCCAAAGTGGGTGCACCTATATCATGCAGTCCTCTGCACTGTTTGTTCTTGTCCTTTTTGCAGGAGATTATTTTCCCCCAAAATATATTTGATTCGGTCCAAGGATGTCGAAACTGTAAACGTGCCCAGGGATGTGATTCTTGCATTTAAGAACTCATCCTGACCGTAGGCGTGGTTAGGTCGCCGTGGTCGTGGTTCCCCGGCTTCTCATTGGCTGCCATTTGCGTGTCCTCCTGATTTCATTGGACAGCGGGGCGCAGCTTTGGGTGAATTCGGAAAAGCAAGGGGGTCCCATCTTGACGTTCTGTTTTGCGTTTAACCGGACCGAGAGTAATTCCCGTCTTGGTCTTTTTTCCTCCTTCCTTTATGCTGCGTTTTTGCAGGTTTTCAATATGATGAAGTTTAGGTTCAAACGGCAAGGGAACGATACCCAGAGAGAAAAAGCGAAACAAGATGTCTTTGCATTTAACAAGGTATGGTAACACACTGAGCGGAAACACCCGCTCGTAAAGCGCTTGCGTTCGTGATAATTAATTGATAATTACTGATTTTATTGTGATATGGATGTCATCGTCGTATGTGACATCCTTCACTGAAAAAAAAAACAAGTTATGAAATGTACAGCCATCAACTAGGATATCTAACCTTAAACGATCATTACTCAATTGTGCAAACGTACCGAAGTTAATTTGAGCTGGTTGTTAACATTTCTGCTGAAAGCTGGACGCTGAGATGTAGCAAAGACACTGATATCAAGCATGCGGCAGTGATGACGTTAGGGATTTCACCTTGAAAACATGAACGCACTGACAATTAAATCTGTTGTTACTGCTGACTGGCTTATATGCTGTTGAAACGTCTTTGTAAATGGTGATATTTAAGGAGATTAAAAGAAACTGAAATGCAGATTTTAGGCAAGAAAGCTACCTTTGGTTGTTGGGATGTATGCGGTTGTTTTCAGATTTAAGAAGCATCAATGTTTTGCGTTACCGTAATAGTTCAAATTAAGTTTTTTTTCAGCTTGCTCACGCTTCTAATTTGTAATAATTGCGATGTTTTCTCATAACTGCTGTAAAAATTAATATAATTGTGTATATGCAAGAAGAATGTTGTGTAGAATGTAATGTTTTTATCCGGAGGTTAAAAGTTGGATTCATTTACACCTCCAGTTGTTTATTTTACGCGGGTCGTTTATTTTTCAGCATGGTTCGGTTTAATTCTTACTTCTGAAGTATTTCCCGATGGAGCTGATATCCGGCTTCTCTCCTGGTTCAAAGCAAAATGGTCCCGTACAGAGACGCCGGGCCTAGTTGTTGTACAGCATATGTGGGTTTAGGAGGTCTGGTTGAAGCACTATTACGCCCCCCCAGTTGGTACGCTGTCCGTCAGAGGAAAGCAAGCTCTCATCTTTCATCTCTACCTTTGTTTACTTGTTTTTTTTTTGTTCTCTGGGTACCTCTTTCACTTGATGTAAGGTGGGGGACAGCATGACAGATATCTTTTTAGTCCATTTGGATGTTGTATTACCTGTATTATTCGCTCCTCTGCCATTTAAAGACCCCCTGCAGGCTGAGCATGGTTAAATGTACAGCTTTAGATCCTCTCAAAATCCCTTTCCTGTCTCAGATGCTGCATTATTGCAATACAGAAAGTCTAACATGCTAAGATCTGTGATGTGCCCCCCACCCCACCCTACAGCAGACAGTTGAGCATGGGTTTCCAAGTCAACCCAGTGCCCTGGCTTATGACCCCATCTTACGACTCATGGCCATTGGTACAAAGTCCGGAGCAGTAAAAATGTATCCTTGTTTACTCATGGAATTAGCGTGGTGGTCCAGCTTCATATTGGTACTTTAAGCACCAGAATGTGCTGGAAATCCCCAGCCCTCAGCGAGAACATCCCATGATCAGGTGTGTTGGGAATCTCTATGAACATCTGCTGCACTGGAAAATGAAGTGATGCAATGCTTCAAAAATGTGTGTTTAGATGTAGGATAAAACACTCAGTTCGGTCCACTACATCAGTTTTAAAAATACTAGCTTGGTAATACTACACTCTGAATTTCAGGGCTTGGCCATATTGTTCCAGACACCCCCCCTCCCCACCCCTCTGCAATCAAGCGGCAATTTTTTTAGTCAGGCTTGGGTCGCAATAAATGCATCTTGCGTTGGTTTCCATGGCTACCGCAGTAATGGGCCAAGGCCGAGGCACATGGCTTGGAAAGTCATTCCGTGCCGCTGTGTAGCTTCCCAAGTCCGGGCTGCATCTGTAGCTTGCACTCGCGTTTGCGTATGTGATCCGAGCATGCGATCCGAGCATGCGATCCGAGCATGCGATCCGAGCATGCTTGAGAACGCCTTCATTGCGGCGGAGGTGTTTGTTCGACCTGCTGTTAACGTCTAGTCTGAGGGGTGGGTGGCAGGGTAGGAATAGCCTGCACAATTGTCTTCTAAGTGTTCACCTTTCTAGACTGTACTGTGTGTACCTATTGTCACGTGCTGATCCGAGTGAGGGGGGGGGGGGGAGTTTGGGTTGAACTGGGGGTTGAATTGGTCAATATTTAAAATTTTTCATTAGTTCATTTGGTTGGTCACCATCTACAATAGCTGTCTTGAGTTGAATGTTTCTGACTCATACTGGGGTGGGAAGGAGAGTGGTTGTAATCCCCCCCCCCCAACTCCATCTGTATTTACATGACATTTTGTAAGGATATTTAACTCTGTTGCTTGTAATATCCAGTGGGAAATAGATTTGCATCAGTGCCTTTTGATTGCAGAAGTGTTTCTCTTGCCCAGTGCGAAGGACTCGAGCTGTTCCTCATGGAGTCTTCCTGCACGTCAGAGGGTTCCAGAGCCCTTGTGCTTTCTGCACAGCTATGTTTGTTTTTTTTTGTTCATTTCCTTAGTCTTTCAAAGGCTGCGATAAAAGTCACATTTGCATTTGTGAAAAATGAAACCCCTGGAGCAGGATCAGTGCTCTGCTGCACAATAAATCTATTCTGTAGAGGATGATCAGCACCCTGAAGAACAATCAGACGGGACGTGTAGCCTGAGAACATCGTCCTGCTGTCAGACTCCTCTGCTGCGCTCTCTCTCTCTCTCACACACACACACACACACACACACACACACACACACACACACCGCTGTTGCTGTGGAACCTCCCACACACCAGTACATTCCAAGAGGCCATACTTCAGGTGCCGAATCATTAAACATTGTAACTGCTCTTTTTAAAATTTTTCTTTTTCCAAATTTCCTCTTTTTTGGCCACTAGAAAGACATTTTATTAAGCAATAGATCTGGAAAGGGGAGTAGGATTTCATGCTCTGATAGTTTGCTGTTGAGGTATTGGCTTCGAAAAGAACAAATGTTTTGAGGGAAAATGTTCAGAATTGAGTGCCAGTTCTGTTTGTTTTGGACCTGTTTGCCCAAAACATTAATCTATGTTCCTCTACTTGGGTTCTCTGCTTCTCCATCACCTTCCATGTTCTGACTGTAACCCCAGAACTATGCATGGTCTTAGTCTAATGGCTCAGGAAATGTAAGGCACAGCCGTGCTTTTTGAATCGTTCCTCTAAATCAGTGTTTCCCAACCCAGTCCTCGGGGCCCTGGGCAATCCATGTTTTGCTCCCTCCCAGAGCAAAAACCTGCACTGTCTGGGGCTCCCCGAGGACTGGGTTGGGAAACATTGCTTTCCACCCTCAACTTGTTCACTTGACGGAAAATAGTCACGCCAGTTTCGTGACCTGATTCTTATTAGTTTATTTTTTAATGTCTGTAATATGCAACAGCACTACGTTAGGTCACATGAGCTCTTGTTTTTGTCATGGTTCTGATTCAGCATAGCACTGCTCTCTGTCTAGAATCCAATAAAAGCTTGACATGCTTATCGCCCGCTCCTATTTTTTATTGATATGGAATACATGCTTGATTATATTCAAACGTAGCATCTGACAGGTGCTGGTGTGAGTTACAAGGGTGACCCCCCCCCGCCCACAAATTGATTATTGTTCATTTGCCACTTTGTGGACCAACAGCTTTGTCATTTCAGTCTCAAAGACTTGATGTTGGAAAATCAGAACCAATTAATCCCTGTACTAAAAATATACGATAATACTGCTTGTAGTTGGATGGGTTCAGCTCAGCTAACTGTGTCTTTTGTGTGTGAATAAACGTCAATGTAATTGTGAGTAGAAGGCAGGGGAGTGCGGGGCAGTGTGACCTTGGTGTAGTTCCTTCTCCTTCACTACATCCATGCCAGATATGGTGCACCAGGGGTGGAGTTTGTGGGCCGCCATGTCCCGGGGGGCACAATTACACAGATGCATTTTCTCCTTGGCCAGGTAAGATTCATTTCACCTTCCACGGACCAGATGTAGAGTTAGTATCCAATAGAAAACTTGATTTGAAATTACTTTAAATCCAATAACTTTGATGTAAAATAAAAGCACCATTGGTTCTTGAATGAATGCGTACCTGGCTACAGTGGTAGACATCAAGAGGGTCCAGTTGTTGATTGACCAGGGTGGTGAATTTGGCAGTGTGGAGGAGCTGAGGGTAGGATGGAGATTGTTGACTGGAAGGTGTGGGTATTACAGGGGCGGCTCCTCTGCCTGCTGGACAAGAACACACTGCACCTTTGGGAGATTAGCCCGGGAGACAAGGGCTCATACCTGGATAAGATCCTCAGCATCACTCTTCCTGGGCGACCAGGTGTTGAGGGTGTCAGGTGAGTCTCCTTTTCCGTGTTATATTAGGTCAAGGACCATGCTTCTATGTTATGGCACTTGGGAATCTGGATTAAGTTTGTGTTTGTTACTAAGAGGTTGCAGGGTCAAGCTCTTGTTGTACATTTCAAGCACCTAGATTTGTGTTGGCCAATTCACTCTCTTGCTCCTGTTGTATCCCTTAGGGCCTCCCGTGTGACCGCGTTGCTGCCAACACGTCGCTGTGACCTCCTGTGCATGGGCACGGAAGGCGGGGCTGTCCGCACCCTGGCATTGCCCAGCCTGGCTGCACTGGAGGCCCGGATGCTGCTCCAGGACCAGGTCCTGCAGAGGTGAGTCTCTGGCTGGGCACCGTCGGCCTTCCATCTCAGCATCTCAGTCCTCCCGAGGATGTAGCTATATTTTGTGACTCTGTGCTGTTTCTGTGGAAGCCAGACCATGCTAATATAATGGAATTTATAAGTATCAGAATGTGTCCAGTTGGTGGCCTGGCGCAAGGGCAGGACCTCTGACTCGCTCATTAGTCTGACCTGCATGGGTGAGGGCTTCCGACTTAGATTGGAGTTAATGAGCGTCCGCTGGGGATCTGAGCAGTGCCACCGCAAAGCCAAAGTAGAGGGTTTATGGATATTAGCATGTATCTCAGCTTCCTGAGACTACCCACAAAGAAGAGAGAACTTGAAACAATAATATGCTTTGTGGCTGAGTGTGTTTGAGTTCGGGAGCAGTGGGACCTTAGCCATCGGTCATATATCATTTGCAGTGTTTTCGAGAAATTAACCAAAATATATATCTCGTTTCATGCTGATGTGAAATGTGAGTGTTACCCATTGTGTCCTCACAGCCTGTAATCATTCATCGTCAAATGGCCTAAGTCCAAATTCTGGTGCTCGCTCTGTTTTTTATTAAAATAAAACTCACAAGCCTCCTGCTGTCAGGACCAAGGCCAGAATCCAAGCTGCCTGAAGCCTCCCTTAACCACGTTCCCAAAGTGTTATGAGTGGGCGGACACAACAGAGCTGAAGTCACATGTTTGCCAGAATGAACACCAGCATGGATGTTTTCCCAGGGGACGCGAGCATGATGGCAACCTCTAGTCAGGGTCATGGAAGATCTCAGGAAGTTTATGGTCCTTAAGCCCTGGAATCTCCCATGTGCAGATGTTTGTAGCAGCTCTGCCCCCCATGGCCAAAGATATGAACCCAGTCAGTTTTCCCTGGTTTAAAGTCCCTCTTATTTACTCACAGTGTACCAGATGAGTACAAATGTGGCAGGTCCTTGGGGCCTGTGGAATCCCTTCAAGAGCACCCACGATATCCTGGGAAGATCCTCATTGGTTACAGCAGAGGTCTGGTGGTGCTGTGGGACCTGAACACATGGCAGATGGATGCTCTCTTTCTAGGGAACCAGGTAATCAACCCCCAAAAATATGACGACTCCATAGCAGTCACCGAAGTCACTTGATTTTGTCATTCGTTCAAATGGGTTTTCTGAGCAGCCGTCTGCTCCTGCACTCACCATAGTCGCTGGAGAGCCTGTCCTGGGAACGAAGTGGCAGGAACTTCGTCAGCTCGCACAGCAACGGCAGCTACGTACTGTGGGCCGTCGGTGGCAGCAGATGTCCTCCTGTGTGCCGGCCCATGTCCTGTACCAGGCCATACGGTAATGTCCAGCTGCAAGCTAGCTTTCTGGCCTTTACTAACCATTCTCAGCCTGTTGCTTTGTGGTTGGGTTAGGGTAGGAAATGCTGTTTCTTTGATTGTTTTGTAATGTATATAGTGGAACTTTTAAACGGGCTACAAGTGTGGAGATCCTTGTTAAATGTAGCCAGTCGTGGTTGGTCATATGTTACATTTGTGTCACATCCATTGTTCGGCTCCAAACCCCGATTCGGGCCTTCAGAATATCTCGGTCCGAATCGTTCTGAAATATGTGGCTGCGTGAAATCGTTGTGGTGCGTTCAAAGCATCAGCCGAGCTTTTGGAAGGACGAGTGAAGGTTGAGCCCATCCCGTCCACCACTGGGCGTTCTGGCCACGGCGTGGGGCTGGAGCGGATCGCCGCCTTCGGCGTGTTTGCGGCATACGGAGGGTCACCGAGTAAAAAGCCACGTCCTCCTCTCACTTTCTTCTGCCCTTTTTTTTTTAATTCCAGGCCCCAGCCCGTGCAAAGCCATCAGCAAGATCCTCTGGAGGACGTCAGAGTCAGGGTTTGTAATAGCTTTGCGTAAAACCTCTATGTGACCTCAGACTTCAAAAGGTCTCATTTTTATGAGTGCATGTTGGGATAATGGCCTGTTCTGATGATGTCATCATCAGAATTCCCCTAGTTCTCTTCAGTGGTGGGATGTCCCGTGCCAGCTACGGAGACCGCCATTGTCTGACAGTCATGCAGGGGGACACCCAGGTTGCTCTAGACTTCACGTCCCGCATCATTGACTTCTTCACTGTTCACCACACAGAAGATGGAGACAGTGAGTTGGAGCATAGCTAAGGGTCTATTTATTTGAAATAAATTGTGGTGATTTTATGCCGAATCCATCTCATAGTTTGGTTGAGATTTATATACATGTACATTAGTTGTTATTTATCAGGTACTTTTGTCTAAAGTGACATACAAGTGAGGCAAATGGCACATTTATGTGTCTGAGATCTGGGTCTTGTTTCAGGGTTCGATGACCCGACTGCTTTGGTGGTCCTGCTAGAGGAAGAGTTGATTGCATTTGACCTCCAGACCACTGGGTGGCCCGTGATCCCGTCACCATACCTCGCCTCACTGCATTCTTCTGCCATCACCTGCTCTTACCACGTGTCTAACGTGCCGCATAAGCTGTGGCAGAGGGTGGCTGCCGCCGGCCGGCTCCAGTCTCCACCACAGACCGCCATGGTAAGAAAACAATAACAACAAACTGCTTGACTGACCCGTTAGGATGGAGAGGTGTAGCCTGAGAAGATGCACTTGTACAGTCGCGTTCTTGCACAGGTCCTTCACGAAACGTAACTCTGTGTTTAGAAATGGCCAATCAGCGGCGGGAACAGCTTCGCTTCCGAACCGAAGCAGAAGGACCTGCTGCTCACAGGGTTGGTATTTTTGCCACAAAAATTCAAATTATATAGAAGGTATTTTGCTGGCTTTTGCTGATTCGGAAACAAGACGCAAAGATTAGAGTTGGTCCTTTTTAATTTTTCCAAACTTTCAGCCATGAGGATGGCACTGTGCGTTTCTGGGATGCGTCAGGAACGTCTCTCACCCCCCTGTACAAACTGAGCACTGCCAGCATCTTCCAGACAGACGGTGACCATGGCGACAGCTCGGCTCAGGAGGAGGAGTGGCCCCCCTTCAGGAAGGCGAGTCCACAACCGTTTGGCAGCGGCACTAGTGTGGAGAAACTTGTTGTTGAAGGCTTACGTCTGAGGCTCTTAATAAACTCGTCTGTTTTTCCCCATGAATTGGAATGCACAGCTTAAATGTAACCGCGGCATGACTTAAGACAGATGTCGGCCTCGTTGTGGGTCATTAATTCTCATTCTTCTCTTCTGTGGCCTTGTAATATTGCTCATACTCGTCGTCGTAAATGGATGCATGGTGCAGCCTATGGTCCCAGTCCTTTGCACTGGGATTTGATTTCCTGCTCTGTAATTAATACCGTAATAGTGCAATGGATATTCTAAAAATTAATTATACCTATCCCAGCCTCAGTCTATTTAATTTCTGTGTTCAAAATGTGAGGTAATGCTTTGCCTAATGTTTTTGTTTTGCCACCTTTGAAGGTTGGGTTGTTTGATCCATACAGCGATGACCCCAGACTTGGTGTGCAGAAGATCTCTCTCTGTAAATATAGCGGCAGGCTTGTTCTGGCTGGTACAGCTGGGCAGGTAAAGTATGATTTGTGTGGCTACTATATTAGCTAAACTACTCCCCTTCTAATCTCTTACAGAGTTAAGTTTTTATTGTAAGTACGATACACACGGAGTTGATGACAAAAAAAATAACCTAGACCAGGAGTCGGCAACCTGCAGCTCGCAATCCACATGCGGCTCTTCTCAGAACGATAGCAGCATGCACATTTTCACATCTTAGCATAATTATGATAATACTTTCGTAAAGATTATTTATTTATGGGTTAATATTATTTTTCATTTAGATATTTCTTTAGCTATATGTGAATGAGGCGGTCGGTCGCGCGCTTCTATGATTACGAGAGTACGTCTCCGGTCAAATGGTGTATGTATGCTTTCCGGAGTTTTCTTTAGTACCTGAGATTGGATGTACACGTCAACATTTATTGGGATTCCTAATTCTTTCATATACTTTCCCGGGTCTTCGTAAAAATTATTATATTTCCTCCGATTTACATATTATAGCCAGCTGAGTTGTTACTACATTTGCGCTGCTCGTCAGCACAGCAGTAGTGAAGAGGAGAGTGAAGGGCAGACTACTGCAGAGCTGAACGAAAGAAGGGGTGACGACTATCGCTACAGAACTGAACAATGTTACGCGTCCGAGTGATTTAAAACTGAGATGCCCCCCGAAATTGGTTCTCTTTATTTTTAGTAAGTACTTGAACTTTTGTTTTTGTGTTAAATGCGTATATGCCCATATCACATTAAAAAATCACATCTCAAAGCCACTTCTCTACCCATTGCGGCTCATTGTAAATCTTGGTCCAGAAATTTAGGAAAAAATGGCTCTTTTATTTTAAAAGGTTGCCGACCCCTGACCTAGGCCAATGAATGATCAGCTCCCATTTTTGGAAAATTTGCGCTGGAATACAGCAGTACGACTGGAGGTGACTATTGACATACAGCCCAATCAGAGAGCTCAGTTTCACCAATGAGCTTTGACGGCGAATCAGTATGCTCGATTGGCCAAAGCTGTGCTGTACACACCGGCCGGTAAGGCAGTCATGACTCATCGAAAGACCAACAGTTTCTGACGGCCGGAAGCTAGCTCGGTGTGTTCCTGGCTTAAGACCATGACCATAGCAGGCAGTTTGTTTAGCTCCGTCTTCTGACCTGGTTGTGATTCACTCTGTCCTCAAGGTCCTGGTCATGTGCCTGAATGAGGAGTGGTCTGATCATGTGATCAGCAGTTCTGTCGTAGACCTGCTTCAAGACAGGAAGGGTTTTACCTGGAAGGGTCATGACCGGCTCGACCCAAAGGCTGGCCGAATCCGCTTCATGCCTGGCTTCCAGCCTGTGGTTCTGGTGCAGTGCATCCCGCCAGCATCCGTCACAGCGGTAGCCCTTCACGCCGAGTGGAACCTGATCGCCTTTGGCACAAGCCATGGCTTCGGCCTATTTGACTACCACTTTCGTTGCCCCGTTGTGGCGAGGTGAGCCTTCTGGTACCAATCCATGCCAACCCATCGATGTTCATTGCTAAAACATTGTTAGTAAGCCATTTGATGCACTTTGGGGTCTCCGCCTGAGCTGCCACGTCCCATCCTCACCGTGTCCTCCAGGTGCACCTTGCATCCCACGGACACCATGGCGATGGAGGGGCCACTGTCCCGCATCAAGTCCCTCAAGAAGTCCCTGCGTCAGTCTTTCCGGAGGATCCGTAAGAGCCGCCTCTGTGGGCAGAGTCGGCTGCTCGTCCAGGGTCTGGCTGGCAAGGTGAGTCTGTACTGGCCTTAGCAGTTAGACCGCCCCCCCCCCCCTTACCCCCCCCCCCCCCCCAGGAGGTTTGTGAGAGGACCAGGTCATGCAGAACTGAACTGAAATAGCTAGGAGCAGGGTAAGGTTGTTTCTTTAGGGGCCTCGTCTGAGGACAGGTTAATTTGATTGAAGCATCTCTTGATGCAGGACTCCAGCAAACAGCTGGGAGAGCAAGGGGGCTCCCGTGATGCGGACATGGCCCCGGTACAGCGGCGGATCGAGGCCCGTTCCGCTGAGGACTCCCTCTCCGGTGTGGTGCGATGCCTGTGCTTCGCGGACACCTACCTGAGAGACGGTAAGCTATGGCCTGGACATTAGGTCAATTTTAATAGCGGTTGTCGTGGCACCAAGGCGGCCGTGTTGCCATACTTACCAAAAACAACAGACGCTGCCGTTGTATGTCACCAGCGGCTCAGCGCGGACCTACGCTGTGGGCAGGCACAAACGCGGGCTGCGTCTTCGCCTACGCATTGAAGGTACCCCTGAGGTCCGGCTCCTGGGGTGGGGCTGTGGAAGCCATCCTGAGCAAAGAGATCCAGCTGATGCACCGGGCCCCCGTGGTGGGCGTGGCGGTACTGGACGGGCAGGGCAACCCACTGTCAGAGCCCTACCAGGCTTCGCGGGATCCCGCCACATCCCTTGATGTGCAGGCCAGCCACTCTGTCCTCATTGCCTCTGAGGAACAGATAAAGGTACCCTCTCCTGTCCTTACATACCCCCGCTCTTGGCATGCCGGAGATAATATGGCAGAAATTTAGAGTCTTAAGGATCTAGAGCCAGTTGGCTTTTAGTAAACATCCAATAAATTGCACAAAATCATGTCCATCTGCATACAGACAATAATGCAATCCACTGTTACCAGCAGACTTTATCAGCGAATCTTGTAGACAGCTGAAACATATCATTGTTAAACCTACAATATAGTTACCATTTCAAACCCAAAGCAGTAGATCCAATGATGAACAACACATACCGGATTCAGCCGAACACTGAGTTTTTTGTTAATTTTGTGCTGTTTTGGTATACAGGGGCGGGGCTAAAGGGGCATTGGAAAGCTGATTGGCCACTGGAGTGCCTCCTCCCCTGTCATATATTGATTTAAAACGTCTCATTGGCTAATAAGGTTGGAGCCTCAGTATAAATTATGGCGCCCTCTTATGACCCTGGTCCTGCTACCTTCTGTGGTGCTTCCTCCCGCCCGTAGGTGTTCTCCCTCCCCAAGATAACGATGAAGGCCAAGCTGAAGCTGACGGCGACTGATGGCTGCCGCGTCCGCAAGGTGGCGCTAGCGAGTCTGGCCGGGGGCCATGCCCTGCTGTGCCTCACCAACCTGGGCGACGTGCAGGCGTTCAGCGTGCCCGGCCTGCGCCCCCAGGGCCGAGAGAGCTGCATCCACAGGGAGGACGTCAGCGGCATGGCCTCCTGCGTGTTCACCAAGACCGGCCAGGGTGAGCGCCCGCCCTGTTTCCACGGCAACAGATCATCTTAATGTTTATTCATCTCTTTAAATAGGTAAAATCTCCTAAAGGTGGGTATTTTATGTACTGAAGATGGGCTTTAATACTGGCAAAGCATTGCTTACAGAAGTCTGTCTATTACCTTTATTTTATTTATTAATGTTCCCCATGACAGGTTTCTACCTAATTTCCCCCTCTGAGTTTGAGCGGTTCTCCCTATCGACGTGCCAGGTTTCCTCCCCGCTCTGCTCTGTGGAGGTGCAGCGGAACAGCCGAACCGCTGTGCCAAGGTTAGTCTGACCACTAGGGGGTGCCGTCGTGCCAAATTGAACTGGTAACAAACGCGTCTTGTAGTTTGCTCGGCTACATCGTCTGGGGATTCCAGCTTGAAACGCTGAACTAAAAACTCGAGTTTGCAGAAGAGGAAATGCCAGTATTCTTGCTCAAGAATCTCTTGTTTTTAAAGTGAGAGAGGATTTTGGGGACACAGCAAACTAGTTCAAAACAGAATGAGGCAATAGCGCACACGCAACTTTTTCTTGATTTATATCATGCGGAGGATTTCTGAGCTGTAGAGACCTGTGCCGGGAGCATTTTGGTACAAGTCTAAGTCATTCAAAATGCATCAGATAATTCAGCATTATCTAGATCTAACTGGACAATAGTTGCTATAGCTGTTGGACAATCTTTCCCTTTAAATGCCTCGGGTGTGGTTTTATTTCTCAGCTGTTAGCTGTGGCAATGCCTAGATCCTCGAAACGACCACGCAGTAAAAGCAGGTGAATTTAATCAGTTAATGTGCCGCAAGGAGCGAATGCTTTGCCAAGTCTCCTGAAGTGATGAATAGCCGTGTATGAGGGGACCTCGTGTGTATTTTGGACGTGTCAGTGGGTTTATATTTCCCCCCCTCCAGTGAAATTATCTCCCAAAGGCACCATTCAGCTATACTCTAGATTACTACTTTAGCTGGAATCAAATTTCTAAACAACCAGACCTTGCTCTTTGTATGAACCAGTACGCCACCTCGGCGCAGTGGGACACCCTCAGCCCAGTCTACCGGGGGCCCCCCTTCCTTGGGAGGACAGGATGGTAAGACCTCTCTTGCCTTCTCCTTCATTACAGATTCGCTTCACATATGAAGGTGGTTATGGTAGATAGTAGATCCGCCCACAGCTTCTGTTGTTCCTGATCTCTCTTAGGGGTCCGAATCTCCCCTGGCTTCAGCTGTGGTGACACCACGATGGACACCACCGGGGACCTCACAATTGAGGACGTCAAAGACTTCCTGGCGTAAGCCTCATTAGCACATGTCTGGTCATGGATCATGTGTCATTTAGACCTGACTTCAAGATAGAAACAATCTTTTGAAGGTCGGTAGATGAAGTGGAGAACAACTTGAGGAACAGGTCTGCAGATGACTGGCATTCGGCTGGAATCCTCATCAACGGAACCGTGTGGAATGTCCTGTGAAGACATCTGCCTGACAGCACGTCATGCTGAGGTCAGAACTCCAGAACACCTGTCTTGTATTTCTTCCATTAGAATCCTATTCCTCGTGCACGTTCTTCCCAGGATGGAAAGCCACTTGGTACTCATACATTGCTTTGCTTTTTTTCTAGTGATGGAAGGAGCTCGTCACCCCCAAAAGCCTGAGGAAGATCAAGTCACAAACAGGCAGTATTTATTTCCATGCTTAGAGTTCATTTGGGTGAGTGGTCCAGTGGAAATGCCCTGCCTCTCTCAGCACCTCCATCCAATTATCTGGCTTCCAGGGCTCATTCATGAGCCAATCGGAATGGAGGACTCTCTCGAACCAAGGGAATATTATTGTACTGTGGCACTTAAACTGTATAGGTTCATCATGATGATATTATGATTTGCTTTTAAACATGTTTTTTTTTCTATGTTGTGATAACCAGCTAATAACCAGTTTTTAATAAATATTAATAGTATCCCACCTTGTCAAGTTTTTAAAAACTTAAGTGTGACATTTTTACTTGTATAAAATTACCACATTTTTGCTAATATAAAATGATTTTGCCCTTTGTAGTTTTCCATGCTCCTCCATGGTACAATGCAGAGGTCAAAGGTCACCTAAGGTTGCCAATTTGACCCTGCCAAAGACTCACATATGGCAAAATGTGAAATAAACTTTCTGGTCAAACTGTATTCTCTGGTTGCTATATGTGAGAATTAACTATTAAATTCTCAGCGGCAACAAAACACTTTTCCCTATATCCCAACTCTATTACACTGTCTGCACACCATCTCTGAAGGTTTGTCAATACTCACGTGACCAGAAAAATATTTGGTTCAACTTTCTAACCCTTCCTTCCTATTGGGTGTTTTTATTTTGTGAATATCTGTATTCATGGTATGAGTGCTAAGTTTGGGAGAAGCTGGTTAAAAAAAAATGGAGAAAGGCTAATAACTTTACAAAGGCTGAGTCAGCGATTTGAAGAGCTAAGCTTTTAATCAACCTGAAAATGGTGCAGCGTTATAAATGGCAAGATCACTCCGAGTGAACTGCTGAATGCACTGCGGACGTCCTTGTTACGTCCTTACAGTACAGCAAAAGCTTTTTGCTGTCTCATTCTTGGCATCATAAATCAGACTGGCCTTGATTTTACATTATACTGCTTCCCATATGTGTCACCGTACCCAATATATATGACTGGCAACTGAGACATTTTCATCATAAATGCCTAACGGGGCTGGATGTTGTTGGGGGGCAACAGGTCTTACCAGGTTGTTCTCAGTCTCTTGTTCGACCTGCTGTTGGTCCTGTGACTCTGCAGGCCACGTGACTCACGGTCCAGGTTGGAGTGTGGTCTTCAAGATGATTACTGGTCATCACACCATTATCACCGACAGGTGACATGTGAGGCAAGAGGGGGGCTACAACATGTACACTCACATAGTATCGAATGATCATTTCTTTTACAAAATGCTAGCAAAAACCTTAAGGCCACTTTACAGTCCTGCTACAGCTGCAGGGGACTTAATGTGTTGAGCTTCTCCATCTACTGGTGAGGAAATGTTTTACAGGGCAGTCATGCTTCAGCCGTTTCTGTCATCCTGTAAACATTCACTGCATGTAGTCTTTGGGAAAAACAAGCCGTGTAGAAGCTCCAGCTTATTCAGTAAAATTCTCTGTATGTTGACAGTCTCGTCTCCATGTGTCGGTGGTCTCCTGGCCTATCAGAAGCACACACCACAGACTGGGGGGGGGGCTTTTCCTATTCCAGTGCATCAATCACTATTAAATCACCTTATTTTCAGATCAAGTTCAAAAGACGAAAACATTACAAAGCCTGAGTACTGATTAATAAATTTTAATATTTTTTATCTTTAAAATGTACAATATATATATACACAACTATAGTTACAGGTCTCTGCAGACCAGTTTTCAACAGTCAGACTTTCCTCACCCTTCAATGAGTCTGCTGGATGTTCCCTTGCAGCTTGGGGGACACAGAATAAAGATTTACTGCTGATCGGTTTCACTGCAAGCCCCCTTCTCCTGTTGGACAATGTGAGGCACTGCTCTCTGGTTCCACACTGCTTACACACTGCAAGCAGGATTTGTTACTGCACAGTCCACATCTTTGCTCCCTGCCAGCTCCCAGCACCCCTGAAGCAAACTATCAACTGATCAACAACTCTGAACCCACCCCTGTCTCGTGGGACTCCCACTGCTCTAGCGATTCTGCGGGCAGGTGGCTCTTGTGTGGCCGGGCTGATGACACACCCCGCAAGTCCTGGGCTTCTTCCCAGGGGGGCCCTTGGAGGGGGCAACCCCATTTGTCTTCCCTCTCTTTGCTACTGCTGCGCCTCTTCCCCCAAACGTGCCTGTTGCTGAAATATAACGAGACACACACAATAATGTAAATAAAGAGAATAATTCTCAGTCAGCCAGAGCCTCGAAGTGACATGATGGACGACTTCTTGGATATTCTGCTTAAGCACCTTGAGGTATGAGTTTAAAGCCTATCCTGGGCCTCGAGCCAACAATCTTCACCACAAGCCTGGTGTAAGAGCAGAGTTTACCTGGAGCCTCGTCGGCCCATTGGAAGAAGCCGCACTGCCTATCGCGCGGTTTGCTGCAAGTGTGGAAAGCCCGGCCCTTGTTGGGCCCATCCTTGGCTACGGTCCGCATGGTCGCCGGCTCGTTGCAGTTGCACATGGTGGTGTCACCGCCACCGCCCCTTCCGAAGCTCGTCGAAGCCCTCGGCGGCTGGGCTTTGGGCTGGGGGGGCCCTCCCCCTCCCCGGCCACGGCCCGTCGACCCACCCGCGTCCTCTGGCTGGTCCCCCCACAGGAAGAAGCCGCAGGCCCCTGCAGCGCACTTGTAGAAGGTCCGTCCCTGATTGGGGCCCTCCTTGCGCACTGTGAAGGGGATGGCCTCCTGGCCGCAGTTGCACGTTGGGCCCGAGTCAGTGCTGCCAGCGTTGGGGGGCGTGGTGGCAGGGAGGGGCTGGGGGCGGGCTCTTGGTGGATTGGGCTGCACTCGCGGTACTTGGCCGGTCGATTGCAGAGTCACATCTCCTCCTCCTCCTCCTCCTCCTCCTCCACTTCCACCTCCATGCAAGTACTTCAGGTTCAGGACCTCCCGGAGCACCTCGTCGCAACCGCCAACGCAGCCCACAAATTCTAGCGGCATCGCCGGGGGCAGGCTCCCCCTCTTGAACTTAAATTTCAGCCTGCATTCAGCAGAGAACAGACGACAAAATGTGACCACCCGAGCGCAACTACTGCAACCGATTTGTGCCCATTGACGTGGCGACGATGGTGCAGGCCCGGGGGGGTTGCTCACATGTGAACAGGATGCGGGCGGCAGGTGGGACAGACGCTGTCGTCTCGGCTGACCTCCAGCACTGTGTCGGGGAACCACACAGCCGACTTGCAGCTGGGGTAGCCCATGCAGCTCAGATACTTCCTGCGAAGGGTACGAACATGAGGACATAAGATCACAGGGATCTGAGATCAGGGCTCCTCTTAGGATTCTATCAAGTGACAAGCATGGGGAGGGGGGGACGGTTTAAAGGAGCCGCACCCGATACCGTCTCTCCTCGTCTTGAGGACCATGTCACGGCTGCACTGGGGGCACTTTCGCACTGGCAGGGGCATCTCCATGTCCTGCCTCTCCTGCTCCGTGAACTCCTGCGCCTCCCCCAGGTAAGCAGACAAGGCTTCGTCCAGCCTGTGGGGAGACAGCAACATCATTCCTGGGCTCCACAGTCCTGCATTTAACAGCTATAGGTGTCTAAGCTATAACATATATATATATATATATAAACACCCACATAGCGCAGCTGATGCCCTTTCATTCTCTTTCTGAAAAGCACATGCACTGAACGGTCAGCAGGTGGCGCCATTAACCAAAGCCACTTCTGTAAGGTGCGCAGGACATGATGGTGATGAACAGTCGAATGGATGTCTGAACTGTGAGAGTCTGAGGGATCACAGTTCCAGTTCCCGTGTGGCTCACTCACTTCTTGGCCTTCCTCACAGACTCGACGAAGACGGCCTTGTACTTCTCCACGTGGTGCCGGAGCACCGTCGCTTTGTCCTTGCGGCCCTCGGAGACCAGCTTCAGGTCGGCTTCCAGCTCGGCCCTCAAATCCGGCTTGGACAGCTCATAGCCCATGGAGTTGTACCCTGTCCATGGACGGTTGAGCGGGACCAGATTCAAGAAATACCCAAACCAGAATGCCACTGTAACAGCTGATAATCTGGAACCCATTGGCTGAATCGCAGATGGCCACTAACGACCACTAGGGGCCGCTAATTCACACTATATAATCATGGTCAAAAGTGGTTCTGGGGTCCCCCCAACCTAGCTGTCACTTGTCATCTTCCTTCCTATTCTGACAGGCTGATCAGATGGGGAGCCCGCTGTTGGCCGCTGGGCCCTAAAAAGCTTCTTAATTCGCTTATGTCCTGGTCCTCACTGTGATTCTTGGGAGGTACAGTAATGCACGTTTGACAGGATTTCACTGGAACGGTCCTCACCCTCCACGAGACCCATTCCAAGTTCCCCTGGCAGGAACCGTTGATCGGCTGTTAATCCCACATACAGGCGGCTCTTGATGGTCTCAATGTGCTCAGCATGGGTCGCATCAGTGCCTGGAAGACAGAGGTGGAAAAAAGTTGGGTTCGCATGTTGACTGGCGAAGAGACTGTGGCAAGATGCTGTGATGGATCAGTCGAGTGCCCATTGACCAACCGATGCCATGCTTCTCCATGAGGGCAATGAGGTCGGCTTCAGTAAGCAGCTGGGGGGGACTGGTCTGTCCATCCACCATCTCGATGGAAGTGGGCTGGAACTGAGATCCTTGCTCATACACCGGGATGACCTCAGGGGGAGACGACAAAACAGTGGGTTTGTGTTCAACGGTACGACAGCAGCATCCCTTGGATAACAGTATCTGAAACAGCTGGTCCCAACGAGCAGAGGAAAAGCTCACGTGGCCAGTGATGACATAAGACGCCGTTGACATGCAGCCCTAAATCTGCGAGAGTAAGCGCAGCGGATTACCTTGGCGTACCACTTCTCGTAGGGATAGACCTCCAAGTAGTTCCTGGCGATGATCATCAGCCCGTGGGCGGCAAACTTCTCCTGGGCGATTTCGATGTCAATGGTAGTTTCCTGCCCCTGTGCATCCTGAGAGCAGCAGGCCAGGAAGTGCCGCACGATAAACTCGTACAATCTCTGCTCGTTACCCTGTCCGCAGAAATCCGGTACAATAAAGGCACCATTTAGGAAATAAAGACCATGTTAAGGAAAAAGTTAAATGAAAACGACGTGGTTACCTGCAGGCGATCCGTATACTTTGTGGGGTGAATGGGAGGGTGGGCTTGATCAGACTTATTTCCATTGCGGGGTGTGGGCCCACCCTGTTCCAGAATCCTCTGGGCAAACGGTCCCCAGTTACGGTCCTGGGTCTGCTGCTCAACCAACGGGGTCAAGTTCAAATTTCTGGGGAACATGTTGGTCTCTGTACGGGGGTAGCTGATGAACCTAAACAACCAGGATATATGACACACATTTCACTGCAGAGGTCATGCACCGTTATTATAGATTTCACTGCTATTAGTGATGTCATGACAGAGTCAATTACAGTCATCATATCATGACAAAACCATTTAGAGAAACAGATCACAAACACCCACTCCCGCCAAGGCCACACCTTACCCTTGAGTGTACAGTTTCTCAGCTATCTTCATAGTCTCCTTGGCACTAATCTTCAGTTTACGCGACGCCAATTTCTCAAGTTCCTGCAAAAAAAGACACAAAAAAAAAACGCACTGCAGGTTTTGAATAAAACACAAAGCAAATACATTTCTGGCATTTATCCTGTACCTACCACAGTGTCAAGAGGCAAAGGTCGCCATTTCTTCTTCGGTTTACTTGTTATGCCAGTAACTGTAGCAGTGGGGTCCTGAAGACAGACACGAAAGAGATGTTCCTGTTACTGAATCAAAAATTCCTTGCACATGGCTCCATCCATTCATGCATTTTCTGTAACTCCTTGTCCTATTCAGGATCAGAGGTGATCTGGACCCTACCCAAGAAGCTACGGGCACAAGGCAGGGAACAACCCACGATGGAGTGGCAACCGATCGCAGGGCAGTCACCCGCCACTCACTCAAACATGCACACCAACGGGCAATTTGTTAACTCCAATTAACCTCAGTATGTTTTAGGACTGTGGTGGCAAACCAGAGTAGCGGCGGAAACGTACAGACCACTGATTCTTAAAATGTATTAAATATTCTGCACAGTGCGCAGCAGACACGCAACGAAGTTTGTCATAAAAAGTTAACCTGCTAATCAAATGAGCATTACATCATGAAACTCTGGTAGGGAGCAGAAAGGTTGGTCCTGCTGAAAAGCAGTGGAACACAGAGGCATCAGAGGAACCAATGTACCTCCATGCAGATTTGATAGAGGACAAGGCAGGCTGTGTGGTTGAAGAGCCTATTCCGCTTCCAGCTGAATTCGACCTCCTCCTCTTCCTCCATCTTATGAGTCACTGCCAGAAATTAAGGACGAAAAAGCAGAGAGCTGTGACGTCAACATGTAAGTGTAACTCCAGGGGCAAAGCTTGTAGAGGAAACATGTTCTCTCAGTGCATCAGTCATAGGGAGCCAATCAACTACCTCTTATTTTGAAGAAATTCTCAGTAATGAAGGCCTGGATCGCTTTGAACCTCTCCACAACGAAACCCAGGGTAGGGAACTGGCAGCTCCCATAACTGATGAGCTGATTGGACAGAGCGGCTGGAAAGATCTTCTGCAGGCGGAGAGTCTGAAACCTGGTGAACGAGGCTCCTGGAACGGAACAGGACTAGATACATTCGGAACCCCAAGCATCTTCCAAGTGCTCGATTAGTTCTGCTCCTTTGTACGAATGTCAAAAATGGCCGCTGTATTATGTTAGTAGCTGTAGAAATCAACTGATCAATCTTCACATAGCTCTTTTCCTGTTCATTTTAGGAAACGAAAGAGTGCTAAAGGAAAAATAGTATACATCAGGCATCCGTATGTACAGCCGCTGCCTCACTCCCAGAAATGCACTTAAAAGGGAGTCTTTTAGGAGCAGTTATTTCAGAAGCAACGGAAGGACTCGCCGTACCGATGCGCAGGTCGAGCTCCTGTCTGACATCCACTGCGTCGCTGATGTTGATATTGGGCTCGGTCAGAGTCTCGCAGGCCCTACTAATGGAGTTCGGGGTGATCTCAGAGAACCGAGCCCGCAACACCTGAACGTTCGGCTTGACTGGGAATGGAAACAAGACAAGTGTGAGGGGACGCGGCAGAAAGGTGGCAAGACCTTTCAGTCAGCAACTGGTGTGGCAGCAAAGAACATGGAGGTCAGTGTAATACCTTTCAGTAGGGAAGCTAACTGGACAGATACCTGCTTTACAGACATCGATGATCTCGAAGCCGATGTTTTCCCCTTCCCTATCGCAGTCTGTCCAGATGATAAGTGCTTGCACTTGACGAGCTTCTCTCTCCAATGTCCTCTAAGTTTAAAACAACAACAAAAAAGCTAGTCAAATATTCTCGACAGCTGCTATTCATTGAAAATGTGTTAAGTGCAGTCACCTTTACTCCAACAAAGTTCTCGGGGCAATACTTCTGCACCTCTGCATCAAACAGCAAAACTGGATTACAGCTGTGCCTATAACAGGGAAAAAAAAGTGACTAATGTAAGTATTTGGAGTCCGGTATGCTGACATGCAATAAAGAGTCTTCTGCTTGATTTTGTGGGGGATATGCTCACCAATTCTGGTAACATGCTTTGAACTCCAGTGCGAGCAGATGTCCCGAGACTGACGTCATTGAAACAGTCACATTCTAAGTTAATGGTGAAGAGAAAACAGTGACATGAGGAAATATACAGAACCAAAAAATGAATGAAAAATTTCTAACCATATCAGCGTGATTTATATAATTGTGTGAAGGAGCTCACCTGTCCAAACAGATGATATTCATACTCATATATTTTGTTGTACACAGAATAACCTTCCCTCTGAGAAAAAAAAATAGCTGACGTCAGTGATTAATGACATCATCCATCCAATCATTCATTAATCCATCTTCCAACCACTTATCCAGTACAGAGTGGCTGTGAACCTGAAGCCTGTCCCAGGAACCATGGCATGGTACTGTACGCCTGGCACAAGACAGTCCATCGCAATACCAAAGCCAGAGATATGGCAGCACTCACCCTCCTTGCTCTTCCGCCAGACATAATTTCTGCAATGCCTTTGGCTGCATCGTTCTTCTCCGCCACGCAAAGGACTTTTTTAATCTGTGCCCTGCGGATCATCTCGGTAGAGACAAATCTGACCAGCTTCACTTGAACCCGTAGTCTTTTTCCAAAGGGGAGCAACAACCTCGACACTTGGTAGATCATCCTATTTTTCCCGTGTCGTTAATTCAGACTGGGACGGAGACATGACCGCACTGAATGTCTCCTGCACCGGCATTACTGTGGACTAAAAACAGTTCTTAAATTTGGATTGAAGGACTAAATAGTAAGCCATGTCTGGTACTAGTCGTTGACAGCACAGCAGGACGCGAAATACCAGATAGATAACTATAGTAGAAAGTTCCGTACGGCTCTAAGATAACTAAATTATTGCACTGAATAAAAAACAGTAAGCTCTATGAACTAAAAACAACAATTGACTTTAGATACTACTGATAAGATTGTTCCAAATAATAAAAACTTCTCCAGCTAGCTAACTGATGACAAGTACATAAGGTATTACTATAGGCGACAGTTTACAAACTCGGCGCCATCGTCCGATTTCTGCCGTAAATCAGTGACAAACTACTGTCGTAAAAAAAATATATGTCGTCCTGCATTAAAAAAAAAAAACTACAAGACCCAGCGGGCGGTTGTCGTTCGGCCACCGCTTCACAGAGATGCTGTCGGGTCTTTCATGCCGCATTTAATGTTTGTGTGGACGTGTGTTGGATATGCTTATGCTGCGAAACAAATCCAATTCATAACTTCCTTATCGAAAAGACAACAAAATCATCATATGGGCTGATTGGTGGGTTTTTTTAATATGGCTGCGAAGTTACTGCTTGCTACGGTAGGAATACATTGGTACGGTATGTCATTTTTTATCCCTGTCAGCTAAGTTAGTTGTATCTGGACTGAAACAGGATTAGACATCTTAATCGAAGAGCCAACGATGACACTTTAACGTATTAGAGTAATTATTAGCTATTTTTCTGCTGGCTGTTTTCGCAGTATTTCATTTGCTAGAGTGCTAGCGCTGACTAATTAATAAATGTTACTGGATTCGTAGAAAAGCGGACGTCCCGTAAATCCTTTGAAATATGGACTACGTGTTATTCACTGATGTTGTATATTTTAGTATTTTTTCTATTATACGTATTAATTAAAAGAAATCACATAGCATGTACACATAAAATACAGAATACCGCATTTTTTCTACATGTCATTCCTAAAATATAGCGAATATGATTGGCTCACCTGACCTGGTGGCTTTTACTAAGGATGATGCTTTTGGCCAGACATACGTGGATCCGTGGTCAATTCCAGAGGAGTTCTCTGTGCCTCTGTATATGCACGATGGAAAAGCAAACCCGTGGTCAAAGGCAAATTGTGCAAAATTTTCAAAGGACTTCATTCTTATTTCAGAGTTTTCAGAACAGGTTGGTCCACAGCCACTGCTTACTATACCAGACGACCCCAAGGTTTTTGGCACATTTGACCTTAACTATTTTTCCCTGCGGATCATGTCAGTGGATTACCAAGCCTCTTTTGTGGGACATCTTCCAGGTTGTGGTTACCCAAAGATCAATTTTGTGGAGGATTCCAAAGTTGTCCTGGGGGATTCTAAAGAGGGTGCTTTTGCTTACGTCCATCATCTGACCCTGTATGACTTGGAGGCTCGTGGCTTTGTCAGGCCTTTCTGCATGGCTTATATTTCATCTGACGAGAGGAAGATCATGCAGCAGCTACAAGAATTGTCATCTGAGTTTTCCAAAGCCTCAGAGAGTCTGAAAGCAGGAAACCGTAAAGCTTTCGCTGACGAGTTGGAGAAGAAATTAAAGGACCTGGAATACACAAGAGCTGTGTTGCACAAGGAGGCAGAGAGACAGAAAATGAACGATGGCTGCTACTCCACTCAGGCGATCGAGAAAGCCAATGAGCTGGCCAACGTGGAGAAGTCTTTTTACGAACACAAGGACCTTTTGAAGCAGGTGACCTCATACCCAAACCGGAGAACGAGAAGCTTTGACTTCTTGCTTTCTGAATCAGACACCCCAGCTGACCTAACGGATGTAGACCACATGCTTGACGGGGTTAGTCCTGACCCTGGGGTGGAAAACAGAGGAGGTGAATGCAAACTCTCATACACCCCGCAGCTCATAAAGGCCAAACCCGCAAAGTGTTTCGATAAGCGATTAAAAACACTCGAAGAACTTTGCGATATGTACTTCTTCCATCAGACAATGGACCAGCTAAGACTTATTGAGGATACTTTCAGGGGAGACTTGTGCTATATATATAACAGACAAATCGACGAGTTCCTTCTGAAGAAACAGAAAACTTCGAACTTCCTCTTTGAGGAGAAAGATGACTGGCAGGAAGAGGAAGTGGCAAAGGAATTCTGTGGTGGGAATCGGATCTCTGACAACACACTACCTCCATCCATCTCTGATCTTTCATGCAAGCCACAGACCTTGGAAACATGTGTGTCCAGTGAAGAAAGTTTACTCATTAATAGGGAACCAGAGACTGGTGTGGAAGGACTTCTAGACACGGAGTCTAGCCTGTGTGACTTGACACAGGAGAACTCTGATGAGAGCACGTGTGCTGAAATAAAGGGGAGTTTAAGCAGTGCGGACAGTGGTGAAACAAACAAAGATCAGTTTGACGTTCAGACATGTGTAGTGGAATCCAAAAGCTTCACAAACCAGCAGCCGCCATGTCTTGAAGTACAGAATTGCAGGACCAATGGTGAGAAACCTTTTGATGAGATTAGTCCAGTGGACTTTGTTGCTGCTCCAACCAGATCATCCCATCCTGGCAATGCCTCTCTAGAGGATGGCGTAGATGCAGTAAATAAAGCGATATTGTCTGCTCAGGATCCCGACCCAAATTATGGGAACATTCATGAAACTGAGCCCTTTGCTCATGAGGACGCATCCTGCTGCATGAGGCAGGAGGGTTTGCTGGATATCGATCCACTTCCCCACACAGCCTCAGAGAGCTGCGTGGAAGATGTTGTGAAGCAGGAGCCTCCATCATGCCTTCAGGGGGACCCTGGCAGGCCGATGAACTTCACCCCCAACGGGGGGACCCTCTTGGAAGGTCCCACCGCAGGCCTGTCGCTTGACCTGAATACGGACGAGGCGTCGAGGAGGAATGCGGATGATGCCTCGGACACCATTAGCTGCTTGAGCATCTCCACCAGTTCTGACAGAGCACCATCCCCGTTCCCGCACGGTGGCCCAGTCACCGTAAAGCAGAAACGGAAAGCTGGACTAGGTGCACTGAAGTTCATCAGGCAATACCCCTTTGCCCAGCAAGCCATATTCAGCCTTCTCAGTGGAAGGACACTGGTTGTCTTGGGCGTGGATGAAGCGACAGTGAGGAAGCTGGTGAATGCCTTAACTATTTTCGTGCCCAACCTTGGAAAATATGGTGAGCGGGTGCAACCCTGGCTAACTACTTCTTTCCAGCTTGCAGACCTACTCAACTGGAAGCTCATTGGCCTGCAAAGGTAAGATTATTATATTTGAATTATTCGCATATATACCCATGCACACTCTTTAGTGAGAGTTTGAAATCAGTAAGTAGTTGGTCATCCAAATCTGGATCCCAGCATATGTCTCCTTGTCTGATCCTTGCAGGATATCATCGCCTACAGGTTCCAGCATGCTCCACTCTCTGAACCGCTACAGTCGCTACATCAGCGTCCTGGATGCAGACCACAAGACTCTGCGATGCCCACCGTACCGTGGGTCCTTGGTTGCCCGCCTGGCCGACCACCGGACTCAGATCAAGCGTGGGTGCACCTACTACACGCACGTGCAAAGCGTGCTCACAGAGCTGACGTCCAAGGCGTTCCTCTACACCTTCTGCTATCACCTGCATCTGCCCATTAGTCCTGCCGAGGACCCAGACACTGTGGCGTTACGAAGAGCGGAATTCCTGCACCACCATTTTTGCTACAGCAAGGAGGACAGCAGGATAGTGCAGTTCCTGTCAGAGCTGATCAAAGACCGTTACCTTCACGGACCAGACAAGGAGGTCGGCCCACCTGTGTTTTGCTTTAACTATGTTTCCAGCCTGACATTCAGAATCTAAGTCCTCCATGTCAGGAAATAGGGTTGTAATCTCACTACCCTTGTGTGTCTAATTCCAAAGCAGGAGTCCAGTGAGCCAGTGAACAATAGCAATCTCTGTCTTACTTCCATGTTAACATATCTTTAGAAATGCTTGCAGTCTCACGGGATCTCACAGTCATGGATCGACTGGTCTTTGTCGCTTCTGCTGTTTTTGCAAGCAGTGTACCAAGAAGCTCCAATTCCAGAACAGAAGTCTGTTGGTTGAGAGGACCAGTTACTGTCTTGATGTCTTCAGCATGGTTTTAGTAGATTGTTATTGAGGGGCATTTAACTCAAAAACCCAGCACAAATACACTGTCCAACATACCTATACTTTCCTTGTCATGCACATGCTGTCTCAACAATGTTGAATGGGGAAAAAAAAAACATTGCAATACTTCATTGATTAAACATTTTTTGTGAGTTGAACTACATTCCATTGATCTTAGGTTGTAAATATCACCCTTATTAATTGTAAAATCCCAGCATTTCAGATGCAGTTTTAAACAATTTAATTTTGTTTTCAATGTTTAACAGTATATGTAGCTTGAGCTGGCAGTGAAGGATTGATGAGCATTTCCTTCACATTTGCCTGCAAAGCTTTCAGCTCCTTCACTTCCTTGTGAAAGCCACATGTTGACAAGAAATATGAAAGGCTTCTGAATGTGTTTATTCTGAATGTCATTTTTTAATTCGGCAACTACTCCGTCTGTCCACACCAAGTTATGTTTTTATCGGTCTGTTTTTGCAATAATCAGTCTAATAAAATGTGATTCATCTGAGCATACCTGGAACTTAAAGAGGATGAGCATCTTGCACTCTGCTCACTAAATATCTCTGTTGTCAAACTGTCTTGCTACCCAGGTAGGTTTTCCAGTGAAATATGTCTTGGCAATAAATTTCCAAGTATAATATGCTAGATGTTGCTAGGTTCTCTAAATTTACCACGTAAATGTATTATGTTCATTTTATGTGTCTGAATGACAGGCCTCCAAAAACCAGAAGGCCTCATTCAAAGGTCAGGCATCAAGCCTGTCTGTCACACTGGGAAATCTCTAAAACTTTTGATTTGACTGTGTTGAAAATCAGCATGTTAAAAACTGTGTGAAGAGATTTTTTTTATTGCTCTGCATGAGCTGTAAACCAAGGTTATCTCTGTAAATACTGCAATAAAATGATGAAAATCTACTTCAAAATTGACAGTAGTGACTTGAGTCCCCCCCTTGGACTCAAGAATTGATCCTTGATCAATGTACTCATGCATAAACTGATCTGTGAACTGAGCTGGGTGATTTGCACAGACCAGACCAGAGCATCTGCACAGGCAGCAGTCTCAATAACCTCTACAAGGGGCATCACGACCAAATCATCCAAGACAATAAGCACACATCGAAAACATAACTTCCCCATGTTCCAAGTAGGAACAAAAATAACTTTATTCATCTTATATTTTAAACGTCACTGTACACTTTTACATTTGGAAAAATAGCATGTAAAAAAAAAAAAAAAAACCTTTCACATAAATCTTCAAGCAAACCAGCAGTCACATGACTGCATACAATTTTTAACTAAAGGAAACTGCTGCATTCGTCACATGACCAAAGTTACCCATTCACACTCACAGTCGTCTTCACCTCTGAGGTCTTCAGAAAATCTGCTGGGTCAGATTCAAGAACTGTTGAACTTCTGATGACAGCTCATGGACCTAAAAGGAAGGATGACATGAATGATTGGGACTGACGGTCTATGGAAATACCCCGGTAAACACTGCAACTTACACGCTGCAGAGAATTCCGCAGGTGGCACTGCCAAGGGAAATCATGCCTAGACGTTCAAAGAAAAATAACAGAACAATTATACAGCAAACATAAGACTCGCGTATAAATGATCTTCCAGCTATATTTTTCAAAGGAGAACAGAAACAAGCTTGGGGGTCACCAGTCTGCCAGTGCCCTAGACCCCTGGGGCAACTGGGAATTAAGGGCCCAACTGTGGCATCAGGGCTGGAATTTGAACTAGTGACCATCTCCGCATGGGCACCATAGCCACACACCACCCCCCAAAATACACCATTTAAAATTGTTATATAGACAATTTTATGTATTTTCAAACATCATTAATTAGGTAACACATACAGGGAATTATCTTCTGCAAGACCACTGCCTTCCAAGATGTTTCCATCCTACACATCCTGATAGCTAGGTTATGATGTCAACACAGGCCCGATCAAATAACCAAGCGATGACAGCGGGCAGTGGATTTCCAAGGAGTCTCACCCGTTCCAGTGTTTCAGCAGGACGTCCTGAACATGCTGTGTTACGGGATAGAGTGCAGCACGCGGGTCCTGAACACAGTAAGCCAGGAAGTCTCCCATGAATCTGTGGTCTGACGGCTCCAGTTTCCTACAGGAGGAACAAACTTCAGCTCCTAGAAAGTGGGGTTTGATGCTGAAAAGGAAACTCATAAAATGTATGGATCCATTGTCTCATGCATAAATGAGTAAACCTATCACCATGTGATGTTAATTTATCACTCTATTGCTTTGGATAACAAGAGCATTAACGTAAAAAGGATTTCTGTGGCTACTAATACATAAAACATTAAAAGTATCTTAGCAACGTTAGAATGTCAGTATAAGAGTGAGGACCTGGTGTGCATGTCCGTGTCCCTGTACAGATCATTGAGCAGCGTGTTCAGGAAAATCTGCAGGATCTCGGGTTTGTTGCCGAGTCCGTTATAGAACCACTGCAGCGCCCACAGGTTCTCCTGGGAAAAGCAGTAAGAGCAGAAACCAATTTGCGACTTTTACCAAAGGACGGGATCCACCTTTATTCACACAGACACGGCCTGCTAAACGTATCGTTATTTTTTGTCCAGGACCCAAGCTACATGACGGCTGGGCCTGCACTCTAGGGCACTCTAGCTCGCCCACAGTGGGTTAACGAAGTGAAGGAGAAACCGACTCCTTCATGGGACGTACTTTAAAGCTCAGGACGACATCCAGGACGGTCACCATGGGGCTGTGGAAGATTCTGTGGATGAGAGCTTGAGTGACCAGCGTCAGGAGAGCCTGGTCTGGGTACTGCTGTAGTGAGTAAAGTGCAAACACACCCACAGTGAGTACGGACTAATATGCCTAGACTACAGGTCTTATGAAAGGCTAATGGAGCGATTCAATGCAAACCCAACTGCACAAGTTCCTCATTTCAAAGATGAACACACTGTGCGAACAAACAGATGGAAACTGACAGCGGAACCTGAGAATTAGAATGAAAACCAGCTAGCCCACGGACAGTGAGAGTAATCACGGTTTCATGCCTAATTTAAAAGATATTACATAAAAGGACATTTCTACCAGCAAGGGCTCCAAAAGCACTATTCAGCGAGTTAATAGTCAGGCGCTGCATAACATTTCGGTCGACGACGGACCGCATATACAACGGTGGTCCCATAAGATTATAATGGAGCGGAAAAATTCCGACCAAGTGACGATGTAGCCGTGATAACGTCATAGTGAAACACATCCCTAATGCATTTGTAGCCATGCTGGTGTAAACAAACCTACTGCACTGGCGGTCGTATCGAATGTATAGCACGTACTATTATGTAAAATACATAATACCGATTGCCTACAATCGGCCCGCTGAAGCCCTTGCCTTTGACTGCCTTTGATCTACACAGGGGGGCGGACCCATGTTACCCCTTTGGGCAATGCCTGCCAAGCCCCATGGGGGGAGGCCCGGCCACCAGGCACTCGCCTTCGAGCCCCCGCCCCAGGCTGTCTCCATGGTGAGGGCCCAGTCTCCCCAACCTGGGCGAGGTAACATCCTCCTTGGTTTTTTTCTTCATGACGGTCAGTAAGAACTGAACTTTGGTCCTAGGTGAGCGGCCAGACTATGTACCTTGGGAGACCCTACCTGGGGCACCTGCCCCCGACAACGCAGCTCCTAGGATCACAGCGGCATCGCAAACCATGTTAAGGTAGAACCAATCAAAAACAGGTGATGCATTCATTTACAGTTTCCAGGACTGGGACAACTGACTGGGCCATGGGAAAATCAACAGGGACAAAGATCGCTTTGCCTGTTGCAACAAATTTAAAAACAAATGTAATGAAGGTCACTGACCTTGAAAACATGTTGTCAGAAGGGTGGCAAGTATGATATTTTAACTAACAACACAAACCACAAAATCATTTATGGCCGCATAATAATTTTGCAGTATAAGTATTTTTTTTTTTATCCGAATAAGTAACACTTATTAACTGATCTGTTAACATTTCGTGACTATTAAAACCAGAAAACGTTTTGTGAATTTATTACAAGTAGTTCAAGAGTAATAAGCATTTCATTTTCAGTATGTCCTATTTTTAAAAATATTTTTAAATGGGGGGGGGGCGCGTTTACAAGGGGGAGAAGAACACCAGTAGGCGTACATGCTGCTCTCATCAGGTCTGGAAGACCTGTGTCCTTGGTATCTACAGTACTAAATAAAATAAATAAAATAACTACTATCATTTTTTCCTGAATTTTATCAACTTGGCACCAAAGTATCAGTTCTCATGACATCGCCAGTCTAAATATATATATTGTACAGCACTTCTCTTGTTGTTTGGGCCATATTTTATATTTATATATACGCCCACAAACGGAGCGACTTCTGGAAGAACCAGTGGAGTAAAGTTGCCCTGGGCAACCCTGGGGTTTTTTATTTCCACGTGCTGGATGTGGATCTTGATCTGCTAATGAGCTTCAGTCATTTTCAGACAATTAAGTAGGTTCTAAAAGCACTTTTCTGAAGAGCTGCCCGTTAATCTGGCCGCACCTCTTGGTAGCCCTTTGTTCTCACGCTTTATACCATATAGCTCAGTTGTGTAGTAGACTATGCCATCTAGGTTTGTGAAAGTACCCTATGATGTCTGATTAAACCACACACACACACACACACACACACACACACACACACGTGAGCACAGCTTACATGGAGAAACATCTTTGGAATCTGAAGCTGATTGTCTGTTGAATTCTTCATGAGAATGGAAACCGTCGTAGCCCGAGCGATCTGGGTGTTGAAACACAGAACCGGACTTACTTTCAACGACCAACGGCAATATGGCACCACGGAGCAGAGATCGTGGACTGGATTCTCACCGTTAAAAACGTCATGTCTGGCATCATTAAGGAGGCGCACTTCAGAGAGCCGTTGGGCGCCATGGACTCCAGACCCGCCACCCGGATCAAATCCACCCAGCTGATGGGCTTAACACAGGATTTACACACTTATGAACATCCCCTCTTATCCAAAGGGACTGGAAGATGACGCTGGTCAGGCCCCCCGAATACTCACGTCCAAGAATACTATGGTGTTGCAGTTCAAAACTCGTAACGCCCACCGGATCACCTCAGACCTTTTTGGGAGCCTGGCATCTATAAATAAAGAGAGGAATAGCAGGACACGAATAAGACAGGGCTGGTGGGCCAGACTGGTGACATTTCAGTGCTTGTCAAAGGGGGGCGGGACGGCAATGACACGGGGGGGGGTGGGGGGGCGGGGGGG